GTAAATCCTGTGTGCTCCCTGTAGTAAATAGATGCTGGAGTACTCCCAACTTACTACTTTAATACATTTAATTGTATTTTTAAGTGCTAATGATGAAGTTGGGAGCAGGGAAATGAACAGGCAAAGGTTTCTCTGCACAGTTTCTATTTTTGGGGTGCATTTATTGCTCCTGTGACCCTGGCTGGGAAATCCTTCCCTGGGAATCCCAACAGCTGGGAAAGAGCCTGGGAGCAGAGCTCAGGGATCGGGAAGTGGGAATGGGAATGATCCAGGATGAGTTCTGGGAGGGATGAGGGGGATGGAAGCTGATCCTGAAATCTGGGATGGGTCCTGTAAGGATGGATGGGTCCCATAAGGATGGATAGATGGATCCCACAGGGATGGATGGATGGGTCCTGTAAGGATGGATGGATCCCATAGGGATGGATGGGTCCTGTAAGGATAGATCCCACAGGGATGGATGGATCCCGCAGGGATGGATGGGTCCTGTAAGGATGGATCCTGCAGGGATGGATGGGTCCCGCAGGGATGGATGGATCCTGCAGGGATGGATTCTGCAGGGATGGATGGGTCCTGTAAGGATGGATCCTGCAGGGATGGGTGGGTCCTGTAAGGATGGATCCCATAGGGATGGATGGATCCTGCAGGGATGGATGGGTCCTGTAAGGATATATGGATACTGCAGGGATGGGTGGGTCCTGTAAGGAAGGATGGATCCCGTAGGGATGGATGGATCCCGCAGGGATGGATTGGTCCTGTAAGGATGGATGGGTCCTGTAAGGATGGATCCCATAGGGATGGATTGATCCCACAGGGATGGATGGATGGGTCCTGTAAGGATGGATGGATCCCACAGGGATGGATGGATGGGTCCTGTAAGGATGGATGGATCCCACAGGGATGGATGGGTCCTGTAAGGATGGATGGATCCCGCAGGGATGGATGGATCCCGCAGGGATGGATGGATGGATGGATGGATCCCGCAGGGATGGATGGATCCCGCAGGGATGGATGGATCCCGCAGGGAGGGATGGATGGATGGATCCTGCAGGGATGGATGGGTCCTGTAAGGATGTATGGATACTGCAGGGATGGATGGGTCCTTTAAGGATGGATGGATCCCGCAGGGATGGATGGGTCCCGCAGGGATGGATGGGTCCCGCAGGGATGGATGGATGGATGGATCCCGCAGGGATGGATGGATCCTGTAAGGATGGATGGATGGATGGATCCCGCAGGGATGGATGGGTCCTGTAAGGATGGATAGATCCCGCAGGGACTCTCCGCTCGGAGCATCCTCGGGCTCGGCATCCGCGGCTCCGGCGCTGTTGAGTGAGGCGGTGCCTCCCTCTAACGGCAGCGGAGCCCGGCCGGGAAACGGGATCGGCTGCCGGAGATCCCGGGAGATATCCCGGCACATATCCCGGCAAATATCCCGGGATAGCCCCGCTCAGGCGTGGGAGGAGCGGGAGGGGCTCGGCGGGCCGGGAATGCTGCTCCCAGGGCTCGCGGCAGTGGGACATTCCTGGGCTGATCCCCGCTGGATTCTGCTCCAGCTGTTGGGAAATCTCACCTCTGGAGTGGGAGCTCCAGGGAGGGTGTCCAGGGAGGATCTCTGGGGAAGATCTCCAAGGAGGTTCTCCAATGGGGATCTCCAGGGATGATCTCCAGGGGAGATCTGCAGGGATGATCTCTAGGGAAGATCTCCAGGGATGATCTCTAAGGAGGATCTCCAGGGGGGATCTCCAACGAAGATCTCCAGGGATGGTCCCCAAGGTGGGTCTCCAGGGATGATCTCTAAGGAGGATCTTCAGGGGGGATCTCCAACTAAGATCTCCAGGGATGGTCTCCAGGGAGGATCCCCAAGGATGATCCCCAAGGAGGGTCTCCAGGGATGATCTCCAAGGAGGATCTCCAGGGATGATCCCCAAGGATGATCCCCAGGGATGATCCCCAAGGAGGGTCTCCAGGGAGGATCTCCAAGGATGATCCCCAAGGAGGATCTCCAAGGATGATCCCCAAGGAGGGTCTCCAGGGATGGTCCCCAAGGTGGATCCCCAAGGATGATCCCCAAGGATGATCTCCAAAGAGGATATCCAGGGATGATCCCCAAGGAGGGTCTCCAGGGATGATCTCCTGGGGGAATCTCCAGGGATGATCCCCAAGGATGATCCCCAGGGAGGATCTCCAGGAATGGTCCCCAAGGTGGATCTCCAAGGATGATCTCCAAGGAGGGTCTCCAAGGATGATCCCCAAGGAGGGTCTCCAGGGATGATCCCCAAGGAGGATCTCCAGGGAGGATCTCCAGGGAAGATCTCTAGGGAAGATCTCCAGGGATGATCCCCAGGGATGATCCCCAAGGATGATCCCCAAGGATGATCCCCAAGGAGGATCTCCAGGGATGATCCCCAAGGAGGGTCTCCAGGGATGATCTCCGGGGGGATCTCCAGCGCTCCCACTGGAGCTGGAGTTCCAGCACTCGGGCTGGGAGGGACTCAGGACTCTGGGATACCGCGGGATCAGGGTGGGACAGCTGCTCCTCTCCTGATCCAAACAAAGGATTTGAGGCAGGAGAATTCCCTGAGAACCAGAGCCCCAGGGTTGGTGGAGCCCAGAGGTGACACAGCCACAGTGAGTCCCACCTGTCCTGCTGGATTTCCCTCCTTTCCCAGTGCTGAGTGCAGGATCCAGGATCTCCCACAGGTTCTGTGTCATCTGCTGCAATTTACCCAGGGAAAACTTCATTTTCTTTAATTTCTCAGTTTGTGCAGCTTGAGTAAAACTGGGATCAATTAAAACTATGGGATGTGTGTAAACCCAGTTCTGGTGGAAAACACAGAGCATAAAAATATCACTTCCAATAACCCCAAACAAAATGGGATCAAAGGGGAAATATTTTCTGCTGTAGTTGTTTGTTTAGTTTGGGATCTGGGGGTGTTTCCTTCTTTTAATCCTCAGCTCAAAAGAGCCAAGAAAAATTAGCAGCTTTTTTCTGTATTTCAAAGCTTTTCATGTAAAATGTGTTACATTTTTAAATTAAATTAACCCCTTAAATCTAATTAGTAAATTAGGAAGAAACAGATTCAGAGGAATATTGGATGTTTTTTGTCATTGCTTTGATTCTGGAGTTAGACCTGCTTGAAAAAAATCTCTTTAAGTTCATGTTCATGGTCGGGATTATGGATAAGCAATGAACCCATAAAAATTTACACTCAGAGATTATCCAAGAAATATATAAAACATGTTTTTGTTTAATGGATCTTTCACAAGATATTATTGGTCATTTAATGTTTCTATTTCAGTGGTTTTAAAACTCTTAGTGGAATAAATTTTGCCTTAAAGGAAAAAATGTGAATATTTTAGGCAGGAAAGTTCTCCTTTCACCTGATTTGTAGAATCATAGAATTCTCTGTTTCTTTTACTTTTATCTGATTCTCTGCTGTTTCTAATTCTTGTGTGTGTAATGTTTTGGGGTGACATCAAGAGAATGCACATTTTAGTTCCCAAGTGACATTCCAGGTTATTGCTGCTCCAGCCTAATTCCATAAGAATTTGCAGCTATAAAGCTGAGTGTGTATATTTATGCATTGGAGGAGAGCAATAGGTGTAAATAGAGAATTGTAAAATGCAGAATTATCCCTGAAGGATGATGATGATGTTCCCAGTTAAACTGGGAATATCCTCCCTTGCCAAGGTGACAGGGCTGGAAATTGTGCCTGCTGCTGGAATCACCTTTTTATTAAAAACCAGCCCTAATCCAAGATGTACTCCCTTTTTTTTGCACCCTAACAGGGTGAAAAGACTCACTGTGCACTGAGTTAGTATTGATTTTTTTTTTTTGTCTGAAGCCTCGGCGCTTTCTGACTCCATTATTTTTGATTTTCCTATGAAATACATATCCCTGTCCCTGACAGCTGACAAACAACAGCTGGAAGTCGTTTTATCTCCCCATAATGTGTTTGTCAAAAGTGCCCTGCACTAATGGGCTCTGCTTCCTCCAGTCCATTTTCCTCCGTTAATGTCACTGATGTCATTGGCAGCTTTTAGTGATTTTTGCCCCTTCCCTAATTTGTCATTCCCATCACTTTGTGCAGGATCTGGGTGGGATCCTGGAGCTGCCTGGGATTTTGTGAAACTGGAGCTGAGCTGTGGATTTGAAATCTCCTTTTCCTGTATTTCTATGTCTGGCTTTAATCAGGACCCTTTATTTACCCTCAGACCAGGTGTATCCAAAGCCTCAGTGAATCCTGATTCCCTCTCCTTTGATTTATCCCAAAAACCTTTGGGAATCTGTTCTAAAGGAGGAGGCTTCAGCACCAAGGCAGCAGGAATTGCAAACACAAGTTTAAATGTAGGAAATCCTTTTTTTCCTTCTAAATCCATCAAAAAAAAAAGGTTTAAAGTTGTATTTATGGACTTTGCATGTAGTGCAGCTCCTGTCAACTTAGAATTATGGGATGGTTTGGTTTGGAAGGACCTTAAATCCCATCCAGGGATAGGGCAGGGACACCTCCCACTGTCCCAGGTGCTCCAACCCCAATGTCCAGCCTGGCCTTGGGCACTGCCAGGGATCCAGGGGCAGCCTCAGCTGCTCTGGGAATTCCATCCCAGCCAGGAATTCCCAATTCCCAATGTCCCATCCATCCCTGCCCTCTGGCAGTGGGAGCCATCCCCTGTGTCCTGTCCCTCCATCCCTGTCCCCAGCCCCTCTCCAGCTCTCCTGGAGCCCCTCCAGGCTCTGAGCTCTCCCTGGATCCTTTTCTTCCTCAGTTATCCCACAAATCCTTAGGTCAGCATTTGGAATGTTCCCAGCCTCACTGGTGTTATTTTTACTCAGAGATTCCCTTTTGACAGAAGATTTTGGGCTGCACTGCACGAGCAGTTCTTCCTGGTGTGTCCCAAAATCTCCTTCAGGCATGGCTGGGACAGGGCCTGGATCCCAAGATTTCACCAATCCCATAAATCCCATAAATCCCATAAATCCTGCCTTCCCTGTGCAGACCAAGCCACCCTCCTGGACCAAGTGAAGCGAGTGAAGGAAATCGAAGCCATCGAAAGCGACGCCTTCATCCCACAGACCTTCAGGTCCAGCAAAGAAGTCAAAAAGGTACATTTGCCTTCAAAAAAGGGACATTTGCCTTCCAAAAAGGTACATTTGCCTTCCAAAAGGGACATTTTCCTCCCAAAAAATGACATTTTCCTCCCAAAAATGGACATTTTCCTCCCAAAAAGGGACATTTTCCTCCCAAAAATGGACATTTTTCCTTCCAAAAGGGACATTTTACTTCCAAAAGGGACATTTTTCCTTCCAAAAGGGACATTTTCATTCCAAAAGGGACATTCTCAGTCCCTTTCTTGCTGCATTATCCTCTCAGAGCCAGGAGGAAGCTTCACTATTTAAGGATTTTCCACCTATGAAGGAGCATCAATGTTGAGAACCTTAAGTCCACCTGAAGTCCCACCAAGGACTCCTTGATGGTCTCAGGGTGGGTTCAGGGGATTTAAATGTGGCAGAATTTAAGGAAATCGCCTGGTTTGAAGAGTTTTTGTTTAGGAAAAGCAGAAGAATTGAAATCCCAAAGTAATCACATTTACTTTGTAATTAAAGTGGAGATGATTTTAATGCTGCTTATCTAAAGCCAGACTTTAAGTCTGTATTTATTCCCTGAAAAGAAGCAGCTTGGTTTTCAATCAGCCTTCCAGAAACCCAACAGGAGACATCCAGATCCCAGAATTTACTTTAATTTTGGCCCCCAGGTGTTGTAGGGAACTGGTTGGGGATATGTTCATTTTCCCACCTTGCAGTGAGTGTTTGGAATTATCCCTGGCTGTTTCCCCAGGAATGTGCATTTTGCCTTTGTAGAAATCTCCAAGAATCTGATGCAGCTTCTTCAGGAAGTGATCCAAAATCCCAGTGGTGCAGTTTTTCCAGCTCTCTCCCTACACCTTTTTTTGGTCACTTCATGTCCTTCTCCAGTGTTTCCCGCTGAGGATGCTGAGAAGTCTTTCCCTGAGGATCCTTTCAGGGAATACAGCCAAGTGCTGAGTTAAAATACTGCCACAGCTGGGAATTTTGGGATAAACCACTCAAATTTTATGTGTTTGTTTCTTTTTCAGTCAGCAGAACCTGCTGAACTCCAGCAGGAGCCTGTCAATGTGGGAGCAGGAGCCACTGAGGCAGCTGCTGCTGAGAAAGAGCCTCCAGCTGCCAACATTCCCACTGCCATCAAGTACCAGGATGACAATTCCTTAGCTCATCCAAATGTGAGTGCTTATCCCATCTTTTGAGCCCAAATTGATCCCACCTTCAGCTTTAGAGCAGCCCCTGGAACGAGAGCAGGGCTGTGTGACCTCAGCCTTGTGTGCAGCTCCTCACACAATCCCTGCTCTGGCAAAAAGAGATCCCACTCCTCCCACCACCCAGCAGAGCAGTCCCACTGGAGGTTCAGCTGGTGTTTTGGAACTGTAAGTGAATTATATAATAAAATATAATTCATGTATCACTGGGGAATTTAAGATAGATAAAAATTCAGGACAAATTGGTTTCTATAGTTGGAAACCTGGAGGGAAACTCAGAACTTGCCCATTTTGCCAACTTGAAAAGTTGAGACAGACTTCAGCTAATTTTAAATCATTGAGCCTAAACTTGAGCAAATATCTTTGAGAGAGCTTTAGAGGGAAATAAAAGGGTTTTTTTAAGAACTAGCAAGTTAAAAATGACTTGCAGTGAAGAAATTGGTGTGGGTTCTGTAGAATGGACACAGAACAGAGACCAGGACATGTCAATGATGAATTGCATTGGAGCTTTGCTTTTCCAATGATTATGACCCTTAAGATCCCTCCCAAGCCAAACTATTTGAGGGTTCCCTGAAAAGTCTCTGCTTTCACTGATGTTTTTGGCTCACCTTTGTCTTTAACCCCCCTGAGCTTTTCCTGTGGGCACTGAGGCAGTCGTGGCTGCTCCAGGGGATGATCACAAACCTGGAGCTGCTGATTGTGCCAACTTTTCTCCCGTGCCAGCTGTTCATGGAGAAGGCAGAGGCTGAGGAGAAGTGGTTCCAGAGGCTGGTGGCTCTGCGCCAGGAGCGGCTGATGGGAAGCCCCGTGGCCTGACAGCTCCCAGGACATCCCAGGCCACTTCCACACGGAGCTCCTACACTCAGCTGTGCTTTGTGTCTCTCAGAGGAGATTTGGATGAGCTGGGCAGGCAGGGAGGGTTTCAGTGGATAACCAGGAATGGCCTGCCCTGCTCCACCTGGGTGACCAGGAGTGTTCTTTCCTGGTTCCCCTGGATAACCAGGAATGTTCTCTCCTGAATAACCAGGAATGTTCTCTCCTGGTTCCCCTGAATAACCAGGATGTTCTGTTCTGTTTCACCTGAATCACCAGGAATGTTCTCTTCTGTTCCACATGGATATTCAGGAGTGTTCTATTCTAGTTCCTCTGAATAACCAGGAATATTCTCTCCTGAATAACCAGGAGTGTTCTCTTCTGGTTCTCTTGAATAACCAGGAATGTTCTCTACTGGTTCCCCTGAATAACCAGGATGTTCTGTCCTGCTCCAGCTGGATAACCAGGAGTGTTCTTTCCTGGTTCCCCTGGATAACCAGGAATGTTCTCTCCTGGTTCTCCTGAATAACCAGGAATGTTCTTTCCTGGTTCCCCTGGATAACCAGGAATGTTCTCTCCTGGTTCTCCTGAATAACCAGGAATGTTCTCTCCTGGTTCCCTCCACGCTCAGTGCTGGAGATGGGCAGGGCAGCACAGCCAGGGCCATTTCCATTTTTTGGAGGGAATTCCTCAGGTGAAGAACACCTGGCAGCCCATGAAATACCATTTTATCCCTCCCAGTGCAGAAAATTGTATAGAGGCAGGTAGGAGTTGGGAGATAAAGTGGGAACTGAGGCTCAGGGCTGGGGCAGTGAGGGATGGGTGGAACCATCCCTGTTCTCCCTTCCTCCTGTGGAATCCTGGACATGTGGGCAGCTCCTGGCTGGGGGAATCCTCTCCTGGATGTGTTCATCCATCTGCTCCCACTGCCTCATTCTGGGAGGGAAATGCTCCACGTTTCCTTCAGCATCTGCCACTGCTGCAACTCCAAATGGGCAATTTCATCAACCTCATCATTTCTGTAATTACCAAATTAGGGAATTAGCACACAGCTGCTTCTGGGCAGTGGCTGTCCCCAGCCCGTGGAGCTCCCTTGGGCCAGGTGGGACTTTCAAATCATCAAAGTTTAGTGTGAACATGAATTTAGCCTGGATAAACTTCCACAAAAATCTGCCCATCACCCATCTAAGTGCAGGAAATCAACCAAATCAAATAAATAAAAGTATTTCTCCAGCAAGGCTGGGAGGAAATTGTCACATCAGGAGAGGAGAAAACTGAGCCCCAGCTGTGGATGTGCTCCTGGAGCTGCCCTGCATCAGCATTCCCTTGGGAAGCTGCTTTTGGGATTATTTCTCCTGGTTCTCAGACCTGTGCTGATACAGAATGGAGGCTCACTCTGCAAATGGACTTTGCTTGGTTTGGTTTTTTATTTTAGATCCCGGATATAAAAGGAAAATGTATTGAATTTGCATTCTGACAAATTTTTACTTCCTTTATGAAGTGTTAGTTTCATTTTATCCTGCATCAAAATATTCCAAGAGCTTGTCTGCAGGAAAAAGTGGGAAAATGTTTGTTTCCCTTGTTTCATTTCAGCATTTTCAAATGGTAAAATTTGTCATTGCTGCATTTTCTCATCACCTTTTATGTTTCTTTCATAGAAAATAAAAACTGTTTGATGTCTATGGAAGGTCCAAGTGTAAATTCCTCTTTTCATGCATTGTCTTGGATAATTTTGGTGCTTTTGTTGGATGTGAAATGATTCTTTTTATTTGCAGCCCTGTAGAATATTAGAGAACTTTACAATATGTTGTAGATAGATATAGAGTTTGTTTATTTATTGTTTATTAAACAACATCTAAATTTGCTGGAGGAGAGTTGGGAGCAAGAGCTGGTAAGAAAATGGAAATAATATTTAGATAATTTAGATAAAATAAAAATCAATAGACTAAAAGATATCTAAAAACAGATAAAACTAAAATGAGTATATTGAAAAATAGATAAACTAAAATAAATTAATTAAATTAATTTAAATTAATAAATTTTAAAACATTTAGATAACATTTAGATAATTTAAATAACATTTAGAAAATTTGGCTGAATGGAAAATGCACTGAAATATTCCAAACACCACTGGAAACACGGAGCAAATCAGGATAAAGTTGATTTTTATAGTTGCAGCAGCAGCTCACTGATCAGGATGTCCATGAATTTCTCAGGACTGTGCACTTTTCATGGAATAATACCTTGGGGACTGCCTAAAAAGGGATTTTTCTGGTTTCTTTCCCTGGAACATCCATGGGGGTGCTGGTGCTGGGGAAGAAGGAGCTGCCAGGCTGGAGTTTGTGCCAGCCCAGGGCTGGATTGGCTCAAACAATCCTCACCAGAACCCAACCAAGCATTTAGGGCTCTTTCCTGCAGAAAGTTCATTTTTTCCTGGTATTTCCCACTTTGCTCCTGGTGAAAGGGAGCAGATTCCTGAACAGGAAAGGGACAGAAGCAGCTGGGTCAGTTTTCTCTGTAAAACTCAGGGTTTTCCCTGTAAAACTCAGGATTTCATCTGTGAAACTCAGGATTTTCCCTGTAAAACTCAGGATTTCATCTGTGAAACTCAGGATTTTGACTGCAAAACTCAGTATTTTCCCTGTAAAACTCAGTATTTTCCCTGTAAAACTCAGGATTTTCTCTGTAAAACTCAGGATTTTCCCTGTAAAACTCAGGATTTCAGCTGTGAAACTCAGGATTTTCCCTGTAAAACTCAGGATTTTCCCTGCGAAACTCAGGGTTTTGGCTGTGAAACTCAGGATTTTGACTGCAAAACTCAATATTTTCCCTGTAAAACTCAGTATTTTCCCTGTAAAAATTACGATTTCATCTGCGAAACTCAGGATTTTCCCTGTAAAACTGAGGATTTTCCCTGTAAAACTCAGGATTTTGGCTGTGAAACTCAGAATTTTGAGTGCAAAACTCAGTATTTTCCCTGTAAAACTCAGTATTTTGGCTGTGAAACTCAGGATTTTCCCTGTAAAACTCAGTATTTTCACTGCAAAACTCAGGATTTTGGCTGCAAAACTCAGGATTTTCCCTGTAAAACTCAGTATTTTCACTGCAAAACTCAGTATTTTCCTAATTCCCTATCACCCCAATTCCCAGCAGGAATGCTCCCTGCTCCTCCTCCCTCTGCAGCTCTGTTGGCTGTGGGGCTGGTTTGAAGTGGGGATCTTTGTTATTGGTGCAGTATTTTAGGAGATGTTGCTGCTGTCGCAGGAAAGCCCCTGGGCAGGAGATCACTGACTGTGCTCCTGCTGCTGCAGTCACTCCAGAGGGAGCACCAGGCTCTGTCCCAGGCTCTGTCCCAGCTGGAACCCAAACCCAGCCCTGGGCACGGGGACACTTGGCCATTTGTCAGCTCACAAGGAGGGAGTTATTTTTAGTGGGGATCCTTGAACTCCAGGAGCCTCAGTGAGGAGGGATCAGCTTAAACCTGGGGCTGGGGAGACTCCTCAGCTTGACAGTGATAGAAAACCTGACCCCACAGTTAACCAGGACTGCAAACACTCCCCCTGTTAGTCTGGGCTGCTTTGTTGGTCCCAGTTTGGATGCAGAGCAGCAGTGGCTGGGCTGGGAATGGCTCCGTGACCCTGAGTCCCTCTGGAAGTGCCACACGGGGGACTCCAGGTGGCTCCTCTTGCTGGAAGGGAGCAGGAGATGGAGCCTGGGGGGAGGAGGATGCTCAGTGCTTCCAGCCCAGCTCCCACCTTCAGCTGCTCTGCTCCCAGAAAAGTTCTGGAGCTGCTGGAGAGAGGCCAGAACGGAGCTGGAGCCAGGCTGGGAGAGCTGGGGGGGCTCACCTGGAGAGGAGCAGCTCCAGGGAGAGCTCAGAGCCCTGCCAGGGCCTGGAGGGGCTCCAGGGAGAGCTCAGAGCCCTGCCAGGACCTGGAGGGGCTCCAGGGAGAGCTCAGAGCCCTGCCAGGGCCTGGAGGGGCTCCAGGAGAGCTGCAGAGGGACTGGGGACAAGGATGGAGGGACAGGACCCAGGGAATGGCTCCCACTGCCATTGATTGGGAGATTGGGAATTGGGAATTCCTGGCTGGGATGGGATTCCCAGAGCAGCTGTGGCTGCCCCTGGATCCCTGGCAGTGCCCAAGGCCAGGTTGGACACTGGGCTTGGCACACCTGGGACAGTGGGAGGTGTCCCTGCCATGGCAGTGGTGGGAATTAAATGAACTTTAAGTTCTTTCCCACCCAAAGCATTCTCTGATTCTGTACCAGTGAATTTAACAGTATTTTGTTATAAATTGTTGTGTTATTTCAAACCTTGTACAAATTCCTGAGCTGGGCAGCTGGGAGCTGAAGAGATATTTAACTCAAATGTTAATTTCCATGTTCTTACACATCTCCCTCCAGTCCTTGCTTTTATCTAACATTTACCAACAATTTATCACCAGCTGCCTTGGCAGAAGCTGATGGACTGAAATCAGCTCTGGAACAGCACAGGCCTCTCCCTCTAAAAATACACTGCAACCTCTGGAAACTGCAGAGCAGCTCTGAGCCCACCTGGGAAGGAGCAGCTGGAGGAGTGAGGACTCCTCAATCCTGCCAATCCCTGGGAAATGGAGCAGGAGCTGCTGGGGATGGAGCCCTGGGGGTCTGAGCCCTCTCAGGTTTCCTTCAGGGTCCCCAGGTGCTCCCATTTCTCCCAGAATAGTTGGGAAACTCCTATTTTTTACTAAGTCTGCTGTTTCTCACTAGCTGGGTAAGCACAGCTAAATGTTTGGAAGTTTGGGATTGCACAAAATATAATTAAGAAGTAATTGTGTAATAAAAGCTGGTTTGTTTTTTTTTTTCTCAAGTGAGCAGTGAAACCTCTCCTGGCTGATTAGAACTGACAATTTATCCTTGCCCTCCCTGTGAAATCAGCCAGAACCTGAGCTGGTAACTCGATGTTGTGATAACTTGTACACTCAGTTTGTCCAGGACTAATTGGAACATGGAATTAATGAGATCTGCTGAGGTAGCAAGAGGAATTTTTAGCTGCAGCCACAACCAGCCTGAGGCAGGAGAGCCCTTTGGAACAAACACAGCGTGGCCTCAACTGGGCACAGGCTTGAAACAGGGACTGAAAGTGCCTTCACCTGGTGCCAGCCCCAGGAAAACTTGGATTTGGATCCCTCTGGAAAAGGGCTCCTGGAAGCCCCAAATAAATCAAGCAGCTCCTGCTGCCCAGGTGAGATTTTTTATCTGTTCTGGATTTTTGTCTGATTTTCCAGCTTGAGGCCGTGGCTTTTCCCTCTCTTCCCCTGAGGTGCTGCTGAAGGAAGCACCAAAATCCAGGTGGTTTTTCCCTCTCCTCCCCCACTGCTGGAGCTGAGGCTGGAGCAGGAGTTTTCCCCTCCCTTGCAGTGGCACAGAGAAGTTGCCAGGATTTCAGGAATAATTCTGACAATCCCACAGAAGGTGTTCAAGCACCTTCAGTGGGTATTTTTTTGTGACTTGGGAATGGCAAACTGAGAGAGCTGCAGCTCTGGATCAGAATTCCTGTGCTTCCAAAGGCTTTGTCCATCACCAGTGAGTGCCCACGATGGCAACAGAGCAAATTTGAACAAATCTTGGTTTGGATCACACCCTGGAGCCAGGGATGGAGCTCCCAGTGCAGCCAGCTCCTGGCCATGGTGTTGGAAAGAATATTTCTGTGCCTCAGTTTTTACTCTGCTAAACAAAGCCAAGAGGAGAAGATAAAGGTCACAAAATTAGGGCTGATTAAAAGAATTTCTGGTTCACAGGATGGAAAATGAAGGTCAGGGATTCATTAAAGCCCAAACCTCAGGAACTCTCTGCTGGATTATTGCTGTGGAGATGATTTGAAAAGCAACATCCCAGAACTTCTCAGAAAATCCAAAGCTTCTCCTGGCTCTCTTGGGCATGAGTGGGGATGCCAGAGATGTGCCAGGCCCTGGGCTGTGTCACAGCCAGCTCTTGGGGACATCCTGGAGAGGACACCAAGGACACCTCCAGCTAATCCAGCCTGGCAATCCCTGCAGGTATTTTTACTCAGACTGGTGTTTAACATTGCTATTTGTACCAATTCTCAGCCTCCTCAAAGAAAACACACCAAAAAAAAAATCCAATTTTCCCCAAATCCAGTTTTCCCACTTGGCTGAGACCTTATGGACAGGGAAATCTCAGAGTGCCCCTGACACAGCCAAGGGTCCCTCCTGCTCTCAGGGGGCATCTGCTGCCCTGCCAGCACTGTTAATTAGCTCATCCCTAATTGACAATCTCAGTTTGGGGGGTGGAGGGGGCCGGGCTGCAGTGAGCTATAAAAGGAAGGTCATGAGCAGCCTGCACGAGCTGCTGACAGCTCTATTTATAGCCCAGCCCAAACCCAAAATGTGTTTCTTCCCCTTTTTTGGTGCTGCAAGTTCAGGGTTAGGAGTTCCTCCTGCAGCCTCTAAGTGACTCCTTTTATCAGCTGCAGACACACAAGAGCAGTTTTTTTGGGATGTTTCCTAATTTTGTACAAAGAGAGGACATGGGGAGGTTTTGTGTCACAGGTTCTTGGGTGGGAAATTGAAAAAATTGGAATAATAGTAAAAGACATTGATTTTTTTTTTTTTCTATAGAAAGGAGGAGTTGTCTTTCCCTGGCTTGCATCTTCTATAAAATAGGGTTCAACTTATCCAGGTAAGGCTGACAGAATAGTCCTGAACAGGTATTTTATATTTCATCAGAACAAAACCACCTCTGCTCAACACCTGGCTCGGATTGCTCCATTGCCCTCGTTAGGGTAATTAATTTCCAACTTTTAAACTTTGTCAGACCCATCTGAGCATCTTCAGAGGAGACTCACAGGATTGAGATTGGATTTCAACAGAAAAGTCTGCTGATAATGAGCTAAGGAGCATTAATTCTTCCTTTCCTCTTGGTTTCTTCTTTGTGTGTACAAACCAGGTATTTCTTTTGGAATTTGCTGTTTCAATTCCATCTGTATTTCTGTTTTAATGAAGGGAAACTTATAATTTAGTTCTAATAATTAATTAATTTCAGTCTGTGTCCAGCCTCAGGAAGGGCTCTGGCTCCAGCTCTCCCAGCCCAGTTTGGCACTTTTCCCATTCAAACACAAGTGCAAGAATGCAATTTTCACCTCCAAGCGTTAAAGCATCGTCCCTGCTGCTTCAAAATAATCCTTTGGATTATTAGAGGAATTAGAGTGGATGATTTCCCAGCAAGGCAGAAATATTCCTGGCTTTCAGCAGGTGCTTCCCACAGATTTTAGTGTATTTTATATAAAAAGTTGATCACAATCAGAATCTTCTTCAGCATCACCAGAATTGATTTTTACTCTGGAGGGAACAGAAAACACAAACCCAGATTGGTGGGGAAAAACCTTTCAGCATGAGGAGTTGAGAGGAACTCAGGGGTTGGAAGGAAATGTTTGGGGCAGGAACAAGGGAATTACAAATACCAACAAAACATCAATATGGCAAAATGACTTTTTGTTCTGGCTGAATGTGCTCAAGAAATCTCTGAAGTCTGGAGCAGATTTAAATAGTCCTATCACCCAAATGAATAAGAATTAAGAAGGTAAATTAATTCCTAAGGGAAATCACTGTAGATCTCATTAGCTCAGGAACAAGATACCTTAAAACTTTTAATTAAAGATAATATTTACTGCAAATGAATAAGAGTTGGCAGGTTTCAGCAGAAAGCGTAATCTCATTTATGCAAAGTTTTCTTCTCTGAAGGCAGAAATCATTAATCTCGTTGGAGGTGCCCTCCAGGCTGGCAGAGCAGCAGCACGAGGAGTTCCTCACTGAACTCTTTTATCTGCACAAAGGAGCTGCAGCGGCCCCAGAGCGGGGCAAGGGCTGAGCAATGAAAGAGATCCCTGTGCAAACACGGCCCTGGCAGCAGCATCCCATCCTGAGCTCCTGCCAAAGCTGGGAAAGGAGCAACAACTGCAGCCTCATCCCCAGATCCTGCACGGGATCCAGGAAAAATGGGGAATGAACAACCCCTCATCCCCTAGATCCTGCAAGGAAAAATGGGAATTAACAATCCTTCATCCCCCAGATCCTGCACAGGAAAAATGGGAATTAACAACCCCTCATCCCCCAGATCCTGCACAGGATCCAGGAAAAATGGGGATAAACAACCCCTCATCCCCCAGATCCTGCACAGGATCCAGGAAAAATGGGAATTAACAACCCCTAATCCCCCAGATCCTGCACAGGATCCAGGAAAATGGGAATTAACAACCCCTCATCCCCCAGATCCTGCCTGGGATACAGGAAAAATGGGGATTAACAATCCTTCATCCCCCAGATCCTGCACAGGAAAAATGGGGATTAACAATCCTTCATTCCCCAGATCCTGCACGGGATCCAGGAAAAATGGGAATTAACAATCCTTCATCCCTGGGATCCTGCACAGGATCCAGGAAAATGGGAATGAACAACCCCTCATCCCTCAGATCCTGCAAGGAAAAATGGGGAATTAACAACCCCTCATCCCCCAGATCCTGCACGGGATCCAGGAAAAAATGGGAATTAACAATCCTTCATCCTCCAGATCCTGCACGGGATCCATGAAAATGGGAATGAACAACCCCTCATCCCCCAGATCCTGCACGGGATCCAGGAAAAATGGGAATTAATAACCCCTGCAGCCTCATCCCTGGGTTCCACACAGGATCCAGGAAAAATGGGAATTAACAACCCCTCATCCCCCAGATCCTGCACGGGATCCAGGATCATTTATTAATTCCTTGTCAATATTTTGATTAACAGAGATGCTGTGGTCGGTTTTAGGGCAGCCATTCCAGCTTGGAATGTTCCCTTGTCACAAACGAGCCAGGTGGATTTCCTTTGACACAATTCCTGCATCAAATACAAAATTCTGCAAATCCTCCTGCTCCTGGAACTTTCATCTTCTCATGATTAATGATTAATGGTGGGAAAGATCTCCCAAATCCGTGTTTTTACTGAAACCTCCCTTTGACAACAATTCCAAAGGTTTTCGGGGGGGTTTCCCTTTATCTGCTTCTTCTGCTAAACCCAAAACTCCTTTTAAGCCCAAAATCAGGGGAGGGCAGAGCCAAGGAGCTGTCACAGAGCCTTGGGAAGGGGAAGTGCCCTGGAGCAGCCGGAGCATCCCTGCAACAGCTGCATCCCTGCAACAGCTGCATCCCTGCAACAGCTGCATCCCTGTCCCTGCTGCATCCCTGCAACAGCTGCATCCCTGCAACAGCTGCATCCCAGCCTCTCGCTGCTTTCCCACGTCCCGCCAGCTCCCAGCCGCCGGGAGGAGGCCGCAGCTTTATTTTACTGCCATCTACCGGGAAAAAAAATGAATTTTTACCTCAAATCGCAGCCCCGCGGAGGCCGGGCCTGTCCCCGCCTCGCACTGCCCAGGACCGGGGCGCAGAGCGGGGCTGCGGGAGGGGCGGTGAGGCCGCGATTCCCGCATTAATTCCCTCATTAATTTCCGCATTAATCCCCAATTATTCCCGAATTATTCCCGAATTAATTATTCCCGGAGCTCTCCCGGGTCTCTCCTGGAGCGGCGGCCCCGCGGTCGCCATGGCAACGGCGGCGCGCGGCGGAGCCCCGCCCCCCGCGGCGCGCCGGCCAATGGGAGCGGCCGGGGCGGCGCGCCGGCCAATGGGAACGGCCGGGGCGGCGCGCGGCGCGGTGAGGAGGGGCCGCGCGGGGCCGGGGCCGCGCAGAGCGCAGCGGCCGCCGCCATGTTCGGGGGGCTCGGGAGGTGCTTCGAGGACGATCCCTTCTTCAGGTGAGGGGCGGGCGGCTGAGGCGGAGCGGCCGGGACGGGGCTGAGGCGGTGGTGGGCTCCCACGGGCCGGGCCGGGGCTGTAAAGCGCCGGCTGGGGTGGGTGTGTGGGACAGACCGTTGGCTGAGGCAGCGGCGGGGGTCGGTGGTGATTGAAGAGAGCGGGGCAGGTTCCGGGGTCGGGGCGGGTTAAAGGGGTCGGGGCAGGTGGAAGGACCGGGACCAGTGTGGTTAAAGGGGTCGGTGCGGGTTAAAGGGGTTGGTACTGGTGTCAGGACCAGGGCGGGTTAAAGGGGTCGGTGTGGGTTAAAGGGATTGGGGCAGGTGGAAGGACCGGGACCGGTGCGGGTTCCAGGGGTCGGTGCAGGTTAAAGGGATCCGTGCGGATTAAAGGGGTTGGTGCAGGTGTCAGGACCAGGACGGGTTAAAGGGATCGGGGTAGGTGGAAGGACCGGGGCCGGTGTGGTTAAAGGGGTCGGTGCTGATGGAATGACCCGGGTGGTTAAAGGGGTCGTTGCGGGTGTCAGGACCCGGGCGGGTTCCGGGCCCGGTGCCGCTGTCGGTCGGGGCCGTTTCCCCGCCGTGTGCCCAACCCGAGCCCCCCGAAGGCCGTTGCAGGGGTTAAACGTCCTCAGCGAGGTTCAGTAGCGGACACTTGAGTTTGCCTCCCCTCTCAGCAGGGAAAGGGTTTAATCCACGTTTCGTACAGAGGAGCCCTTCACCTCTTTGGCTGGAGATTCTGGACTTTGCTCCTCAGGTTCTGAGCAGCGCAGCTGATCGGGATTTATGTGCGTGTTTAATTCATCACTTACCCGCAGGCTGTCTCTGAGCCCTCTCAATGCCAGCCCTGCTTGGAACACCAGGTGTCCTTCAGTGAAAACTTTGCATGTCAGAGCACTGATGGCAAATTGTCTCCTTGTGCTCATTTCCCGAGGGGACGGTGGTGCTTTTTCCCAGCAGGTTGGGTTTTGTTCTCACTCCTGTGAGGCACAGGTTGTCCAGAGCAGCTGTGGCTGCCACATCTCTGGAATTGTTTGAGGTTGGAGGGGGCTTGGAGCAGCCTGGGGTGGTGGAAGGTCCCTGCCCATGGCAGGGGGTGGAACAGGACCATCTTTAAGGTCCTTTCCAACCCAAACCAGTCTGTGATTCTGTTTCCCTACCATGAGCATAGTGGTGGTTCCTGTCTCTGTATTCAAGTCTGAGCCCAGTTTATTCCCTGTAGGAATCTTCTTTTGCCCCTGGAATTTCAATGTAAGGAGTGAGTAATGCAAATGCTTCTCTCCTCAGCCAGAGCTGCTGAATTACCTGCTCTGGCCCCATTTCATGTCTTTGGTCAGAAACTGGGATTTGAAGTGGATGAAAATGGGATCAGAGCATGCTGAGGAGCCTCGACGATGATTTTAAATATTTGAAAAATCTCTCAGGAATTTAATTAGCAGCCAAGATAAGGGGCGGGTGAGGAAGGGAACAGCAGGCCCTGTGATGTGGTTTGTTGTCTGCATCTCCTGGTTACTGGGAGCTCTGGCTGAGGCTGCTTAAAGGAGAATCTCCTGCTGAGCTACTGCACGTTCCAGGAGAATTCCCAAAGCTGTGCCACATAAATTAGCACACTTATTTCTAGGAATATTCCTGCTGTTATAAGAACTTAGGAGTTCTGTGCAGGAAACTTCACTATGCGGATCCACTGCATGAAATTCAATTAATAATAGAAATTAGGTCTTGTTTGAAATAACATTTGCTTATTTGTTAATGTATTCCTTGTTATTGTAGCCACTGGTGCAGGGAAAAAGGGATTGCAGGAGGTGGAGGCAGGGAGTGTGTGTGAAAGATGAGCTGGAAATTGAGACTCATTTTCTCAGCACTGTCCTGTCAGGCTGCTTTGCATACAGTGAAGGAAATGAGCTGATTACCTCAGATAAGATTAGCTTCCAAAATAGAGTCATAATGGGCTCCAGCTGCCTCATAAGGAGAGAGTTTGGTGCTGAACTGGAAATAGTGCTGGGCTGGAGCAGCTGTCCCAGGGAAGCAGCAGTCACTCACCCACCCAAAGGTGCTGGGCTCCATCCCTGAAGCCCTGCCCAGGTGCAGAGCTGTGTTTGCCCTGCCAACTGCGCACTCTGCATTTCATTCCCTTGAGTTTGTTGTGCCAGGTCTTCTCTCCAGAGGGAATCTGCAGCCTTACGTAACTTCCCGAGCAGGGAAAACAAATCTAGTATTTCACACATCTAATACAAAGTACAGTTTACAAAAGTAATAGATGGGATTTATTGTTCTAGGACTGTTTTTTCATGCACTGAAGTAAGCAGTAACATTATACTTGAATGTTTAATGTCAGGTTAATACATATTAGAAAAAATTCTGCTACTGCAGAGTGCTGAAAAATAAATGTATAAATTGTTTGTCTCCATCCAGAATTTAATTTAAAAAATAATTTAGTGTTCAACACGTGAAGGGCACAGATTTGGTGTGCAAAGCCCTCACTTTCGCCTCATCATTTCTATGCTATAACAAAAATCACATCCTTCTCATCAAAAGTATCTTCCCCCTAAATAAAGGTCATGTTTAAAGTCAGTAATGGTTAAATTAGAGTGTCCTACACCTGCTGCCATCACATAAAATCTGTCTTGGAGCAAGGATCCGAAAACCCTGCAGGTCCCCTGCAGAGGCTGTGCCTTGTCCAGTACATCCCTGTTTGTCAGGGTGAGCTCCTCCTCTTGGCATTCTGGCTTGAATTTCAGTCTTGGAACCATCAAGGTTTAATTCCTTGGGAACTTTGCCTTCCACATGGATTTTCTGTTCCCTTTCCATTAGGTTTTACCCTTTCCATTGGTTTTACCCTATTCCAGATCATACCAAAATTGGGGTGTTTCTTTTGAGCTTGACAGCATCAATTCTTTCTATTAATGACTCCCTAAAATCGGGAATTGGGAGCCTTTCCTTCTGTTCCTAAGGCTGCCATTCCTCAGTTTGTGTCTGATTTCCCTGTCCCTGGTGCTAAGGAGCTCTTTGTGTGTGATATCAAACCTCTCTGAGGTTTGGGATCTGCTGGAATCGTGCACATCCCGAGGTGGTGCCCGTGTGATTCCCTGCCCTTGGCTCATGGCAGCGCTTTTTCCATCTGTTCTTCATCCTGGGTTGGCTGAGCTCCTTATCACCCCAGGGAAATCTCTTCTGGGACTAATTTAGGTATAGCTTAAAGGGATATTTTTATGTTAAAAAATCTTACTTCAAAATTAATCCAACCTCGTGTTTGTATTTTTCACTTGAAAGTGAAAAAAACCCCAAACATTAAGCATGAATTTGGCACACGATCAAAGCAGCCACGTGATGTGGGAACAGTTTTTTGTGGGGTTGGAGATAAGGGGTGAGGAGCAGCAAAGCTGGGCAGGAGATAACTGGGCAGGAAAAGTCAGGAGCAGCCTGGAGCTTTTCCTCCTGAGGTATCCCAGGAAAGGCTGTGCGACTGGAAGGGTGTGGGGAGTGCCAGCAATTGAGGAGAAGGAGGATGAGGTGTATTAAACATAAATAAATATAAATAAACATACCTGGGAAGTGACTGTTCACAGTCATAAAGTGGTTTTCAGTGGGGTAGCAAAGAGGAAGATGAGATGGAAGGAGGAAATGAAGCAGGGTAATTTGTGTGGGAAGTGCTCATTTGGTGTGGGAAGTGCTCATTTGGTGTGGGAAGTGTTCATTTGGTGTGGGAAGTGTTCATTTGGTGTGGGAAGTTCCTTTGCAGCCTGGCCCCTCGGGCAGCAGCACTGCTCATACCCTGCACTTCTGAAAAATTCCTGCTTTGCTCCTCTTGTGGCCTTAATTAGGAATATCAGGGCTTGTCCAGCTTGGAGAGTTAAGGAAGTTGAGCAATGTTTTCCTTGCAAGCCAAGCTTTGGGAATAGCAGTGGAGTTCTGTACTAGTGGAAGAGGGGGAAAAGAAGAGGGAAACAAAAAGCCAGTGAGAATCTCCTTCCTAAGCACAGGAGAGGGAAGGGACAGGTGCAGCAGTGGGTGACTACAGGAGATGGAGCTGGCCTGAATTTAGAGGATAATGAGTATTTTTAGGCATGTGGGACAGAGAGAAGGAAAAGGAGGATGGGAACTGCCAGCAGGATAAATTTGAGGGATGAGGGGAGATCCAGTGGGACACGAGGAGTTCAGTGAATAGGACTGTGCTAAGCTTTGGAAGATTAAGGGGGAAAACTTAAAAGGAATTATTTGAATGTCAGGTGTTGGAGGTGGAAATGGTGAGAAATAAAATATGGGTCAGTTTATGGTTCTGACAGGTATTAAACACAGGCTGGAGTGAAAGGTGTAGCCAAGGATGGATACTTTGGAGAAGATGAGGAAAGAGGAAAAGGCACACTCAGGAGCGCAGCTGAGAGAAAACAGATCTCAAAAACCCAACCTGAGATGGGAAGGGAAGAGAAAATCAAAGTTATTGGGAATGGGAGATTGCCCAGTTGGGTCCTATTAAAGTAAAAATTTTGGATAAAAACCCCTACGGAATATGAAAAAACAGAGTTTGACCTGTCCATCAGCTGGAGTAACGCATCCCTCTCTGGGTGCAGGGATCCCTACGCTGCCCACCATGAGCACATGAGGCAGATGATGAGGAGCTTCTCCGAACCTTTTGGGCGGGATCCGTTCCCGAGCCTCCCGGAGGGAGGGGAGAGACCGGCGGAGAGGAGAGCGGGCGGCGGAGCGCAGCGGGACTCGCAGGTGGCCACGAGGGGCACCCGCAGGGTAAGTGGCCCTGGGGCTGCTCCTGGAGCGGGCAGGGGCTGGGAGCAGCCTGGCTCTGCTCCGGAGCCGCCTTCAGCTCCTCCTCCAGGGCTTCCTCCCCTGCTTCCTTGTATTCTTCTGCTCTGCCAAGATGAGGGGCCTTCACACATTGCTTGAAGGGCTGCAAGGGGAACATTTCCTACAGGTGTAACACAGAGATGTGTCATACAGGTCAAGGGAAGAAAGAGGGCTAAACCTATTTTTAATTAAATTTAAGACTACATGGCATAAGTGAAGCAGAAGCCTCATGTATCCCTTAAGGAGATCTGACCACATTCATTAAGTCCTGATATTAAATAATGGTACCTGTTGCTGTTGAGGCAGGACGGGAATGAGAAGACTCTGATTCAGAAGGCTGCTGAGAGTAAAACTCCCATTTATTCAAAATACACTGCTCTTTTATACAGAGCTTTGCAAAGGTTAAATTCATTGGTCCTAAAGTGAAAACAATCTACAACATTGGTTCAGAGTGAGAGAACTTAACTATAAACAGTGTGAGAACAAGAGAGATAAAGAATTATTTACATTCTTCTCCAGCTCTTTCCCAGGCTTTTGCCTGGCTAGAAACTCTCAATTTCTTTCTTTGACTGAATCTGAGACCTACAGGTACCAAATCTGCAATTATATTGAAACCAGTAAATTCAGTTCAGGGAAAGGAGTATACTTTATTTAAGTAGACTTGGTGGGGTTTTTTGTACATGTAAGTAAGAAAAAGACAAAATTCTTGTTGAAAAGCTCTTTGGATTATGCTGTCATGGCACATTCCTTATCTCTTCTAAACATTTGTCAGGGTTTTACTGATCATTGAACAGACAACGTTTAATGAACAAACTGATCACTTATCCAGTGCTGGCTTTCGTAAATATAATACATTAAATGTTTCTGGTAGAGAAAAGCACTTTACCCTCTTAGAGGACAGTGTCCCACGTTCTCTGCACATGTATTTCCTTTTTATATTAACTTGACTTAAAAAGGTGCCTGGATGTGGCTGCACTATCCCTGGAAGTGTTCAAGGCCAGGTTCTTTCCAGGTCCCTTCCAGCCCAACCCATTCCATAATTCCATGATATATTTGTGCCTTCCCTGTGCACTTCAGTCCCTTGTGTGCAGCTATTTCAGTTTGATTTCCACAAGCCTGGGTTTCACCACCTTAGGAATATCCATCCATGGATTTTAAACTCTGTTTCAGCTTTGCAGCTGGGGATAAAATAAACACTTTGTGTTCTGAATTTGGGCTGACTGTTAATATTCTCTCAGATACAAACCTGTAAGAATTAAAGCTCAGGGAAATTGGTGTGAAATTCAGTATTTCTATGTGATACCGAGCGAAACCGATGGTCTGTGTTTAACTGAAGTGTTTTTTCAGTTCTGGGCAGGCAGGACCATCATATCTAACCCTTATCTAGAGCTGTATTTATAGAGGAGAAACGTTGGGAGCTGGTTCCTTTCCCTGCAGATACTCAGCAGCTCCCTCCCTGTTGCTTTCATGTTTCCCCCTGGATTTGCAGAGACGGTTGAGAAAAGGCAGGTGACAGGGGCTGGTGGCCAGGGCTGGAACAGAGCCTGTCACCTGCAGCTCCAGAGGGGAACTGGCACATTCCTGCCCCTGCTCATCCAGTTCCTGGCAAATATAGAAACTACATCTCATTAGGGCATCAGTTTCCCTCTGCTGATCCCTGGGCCTTGCATCCGTGGTGCCTAAAGCCAGATCAGAGCTTTTCCTTTAGAGAAGGAACCCCTAAAGCTCAGGGGTTGTGTCCCTGTTCTGCAGAGGGACAAATGTGAGGCCCAAACCTTTTATCTGCAGCAAAATTTACAGGTACAGGAGCTCCGTGGCAAAAGAATTCCAGCTGCCAAACCCTTCCCAGGATCTTCTGATGTTCCTGCTGTTCCACTGAAGAGCTGTCAGATGTCACACCAGACTCAGCACTGATTGCTTTGCCTTGTCATCTCCAACTGCTGCTCCACCAAGGACTGAAACTTTAGAATTACATTTTTATGTAGGAAAAGGTGGAGCTTTGCTACCGTGTCAAAATACACTTCATTCAGATTCCTGACACTGATTAGTGGTGTTGCAGTTCTGTGTTTAATTAAATTGCAGCAGGCCTAAAACTGCTTTAAAAGGAACCAAAATAGTTGGGACAGCTCAGTGAGGATTCAAATTTAAAACTGCTTTTCCTTTCTCCAGTAGGCTTGTAGTTCAGTTTTTAGGGAAGGAGGAACAAGTTAAAACATATTAAGAGATGACGTTAATTGGATTTTTTGGGATATCTGATGATGCTGTATACCAGGCAAATGTTTAACAGATTTTAGTGGCTTTTTAGTGTTACAAAATAGAGTTTATAAGCTTTGTATGCCTAATAACTCTTACTGGTGAGGACTTGATATTGAGAGAAAAAATATATATTGTTACTTACATCTCTGCCTATCTGTCCTGACATAAATCTGAAGAGTTCCTAAAGCTAGTCCAGAATTGGAGAATTCCTTCCTTTTCCATTAAAGTTCCTTCCAAGGGCTTGATCCTCTGGCACTCCCTGTGTCTGCAGGCCTTATCTGACTCTGCAGTCTGGGTTTCCTGGAAACACCCCAGAGTTTCCCAGGATCTCACTGCCCTGCCTTGCTGGAATCCTCAATATCCGTGGGATGATTTGTTGATTTGTAGATTTTAATCAGCTTTCAGCGCTGCCTGACTGGAATGGAGCATTGCAGGGTGGAGCCTGAAGTGTGAAATCAGCACAAAGGTTCTTGTGGGGCTCAGATGTTTGCCAACCTCTAAGTGCTTTTCACACACTCTTATCAATATTTATTAGATGTGGTGGCAGTTAGCACTTTCTAATGTCATCAGTATAAATATATTATTTCCACATACTCGGGGATTAATTAATTAATTACCAAGGCCATCCTGAGTGATTTTGATTAGATGGGAAATGTTTCATGTAATCTGCTGCATATAAAAGCAGCTTCTGCTGTTCCTGATAATAATTCCAGATGTTGCTCCTTTTTTTTCCAGGCCACCAGCTTCTCCCTCATGCCCTTTGCAGGTTTTGGGAGAGGGGTTAGTATCCCTGGAGTAGCTCCTGTGTAAGCTGTGTGTAACCAAAGCATGGCAGAGGCTGAGCTCTGTGCTTGCATCCTGCTTTTGGTGCTGTTTGCAGTTTGGGAATAAGAAAATCCAGGGAAAAATCCTTCCTGGGGCATTAACCTCTGGATGAGGATTGGATAATCCCTGTGGAAACTGCAGACTTTGAGTGCTGCTGGAGAATGCTCCTGTGGGGAGCTGCCTCTGCTCCTCCTCTGCTGCCAGGAGGGCAGAGCAGCCCCTGGAGATGGGATTGGAATATCCTGGGAAATATCCATCATCTCTCCATAGCTCTTGCTCAGTGGATTCCAATTTCTTGTACTCAGAAAATAAGTTGAAGATTTTCTGTCCTTTAATTTTACTTCATTTTGGGCTTAAATGCAGCTTTAAGTTTGCAACACTGAAATACATAACTCTGGAAATGAATTTATTGAAATTTAAACCCTGAAGGGTCATACAGGACTTTCAGAGCAGAAGCTGGTGAGGTTTATGAACACATTTCTGAAATAATTGGATATTTGAATATCCAAGGAACATTTTTGTTACATAAATTCATTTGGTGGCCAGTTTGACATCTGAGTGACAAATCTTCCACTTTTACCTTCCCGATATTTCCATCTTAATCCAGCTCCCTCAATTGCCTTTTGAAAAGATGCATTTTGGCTTGTTTGTGTGTGAAGTGCAGTCTGAAAAGCTTTTTGAGTTAAAAATGCATGTGAAAACCAGCTCCAGGACTGGGAGAGTTGAGATTGTTTTAACTGGAGTCTCTTTTTCCCCCCTTTTTTTAGTGGGATGCAGATTTTGGGGATCCATTTTCTGCAATGGACAGGATGATGTCAAACATGAGGAACAGCATGCTGGAAATGCACAGGAAATTTGTGAGTTCTTTTGGAAATCATTCTGAAATTTATCGCACTGGAGAGTGCCAGTTATTTCAAATATTCCTCAGAAAATCATGCCAAGAAAAATGGGACTAATCTCAAGGAGATAGTAAGAATTGAGGGGTTTTTGCCCAGATTATATTGTGTTTATAATTCTTCTTTATTCTTTGAAGATAAGACTGAAGTTTATGTGGTGCCAGGAGGGTTAATTTTGTGAAGGGATGTTTTCCATAGTAAAATGATAATGAGTAACTGTTACCCAAGTTTTAACTGCCATTCCTGGGCCTGCCTTGCTCTGTAGGATGACCTGTCCATTGAGCCTGAGGGACACAGTTTCAGCTCCTCCTCCATGATGACCTATTCCAAAGTGGGGGATGAACCTCCCAAAGTGTTCCAAGCCTCGGCCCAGACCCGCACGGCTCCAGGAGGGGTGAGTGACGCTGGGATCCAGCACACAGGAGCGGCCACTGCCCAGGATTCAGGTGCAGCCACACCAAAGCAGTGTCTGCAGCTTCTTTTCCTGCAGACAGTGACTCCTGGAATCACAGAATCCTGGCATCACTGAGGTTGGGTTGAGTCAGTCCGTGCCCAATTCCCACCTTGTCACTGAGTGCCACCTCCAGCCCTTCCTTGGACACCTCCAGGGAGCCCCTTCCAATGTTCATTCACCCTTTCCATGGAGAAATTCCTCCTGATGTCCACCCAGACCCTCCCCTGGCCCAGCCTGAGCCATTCCCTCTCCTCCTGTTCCTGTTCCCTGGAGCAGAGCCCAACCCACCCGACTGCACAAAGAAAATTTAGGGATTGAGGAAAACACAGGGCTCTCAAACCCTGCTCTGTATTAAAGGTCTGATTTCCTCCCTGTAATTTTGTGCTTTAGGTACACCCCAAAATAAATTATAGTCCCATACAAGGCTGGGAAAACTGAGCACAGAGCAGCAATTTTCCAATGCCCTTTGCTGTAAGGAATCCTTTTCCTGCCCACTTAAACTGCAGGGGAGGCATTGATTGATGCAAGCCCTGCCTTCAGAGCACCCCTTTGCCCAGACACTTACATAACCCTGAGCTGCAGCTCCCTTGCAGCTGTTGTGTCTAATCCTGCCGGGAACTGGGAATGGGAGCCATGAAAGCCTAGCCAGGATCCCCGAGGGCCGTGGGCAGGATTGGCTGGGAATGTGTCCCAGCTCCAGCACACCCTTATCACAAGGCTCCTAATAATAGCCCAGGACACTGATAAGGGCCAGCCTGCCTTCCCAGCCAGTCAGCACCACAGCCCAATAACTGGTTGTTCCTCACGCTGGGAATTTTGACATCGGGTGTTGCTCTTTCTCTTGCCAAGGAGAGTGTTGGAAACTTGGCTCTGTAGCCTTTTTAAACTGAGGGGTTTTTCCCCAGTAATTAATACTTAATTAAAAATCTTGAGGTGTTTCATCTTCCTCTCTGGTGGCTGAAGGAAAATAGGCTTGATTTGTGTTTTGTTGGTGGGTTTGCAGCCAACACAGGAAATTAGAGAATTTGAAAAGCCTGGAAAACCTGACTTTTATAAAGGAAAGATGTAAAACTACTGGGGGAGGAATTAACCCTTTGCATGGGCCTGGAGTAACAGGACAAGGGGGAATGGCTTCCCACTGCAGAGAGCAGGGTGGGATATTGGAAGGGAATTCTTCCAGGGAAGCTGTGGCTGCCCCTGGATCCCTGGAAGTGCCCAAGGCCAGGCTGGACACTGGGGTTGGAGCAGCCTGGGACACTGGGAGGTGTCCCTGCCATGGCAGGGGTGGCACTGGGCAAGCTTTAAGTCCTTCCAACCCAAACCATGCTGGGATTCTGTGAACTCTTTTACCTCATTTTTAGTTGGAAGGACACTCAGTTCCCGTTTTTTTAAAAACAGGTTAAGGAAACAAGAAAAGCACTGAAGGATTCTGAAAGTGGCCTGGAAAAAATATCTGTTGGTCACCACATCCAGGATCGGGCTCATGTCATCAAAAAATCCAAGAACTCCAAGACTGGGGATGAGGAGATTAATCAAGAATTCTTCAACCTGGATGAATGTAGGTGTTTTTAGGCAGCTATTGGGCTTTGCACTGTTTCACACTCTGATTTGGAAGTTCCAGCTTGAGATAGCTTAAAAGGCACTTCTAGACTGAAAGTCTCCAAATCCAAATTCTCTTTCACAGATCCCCAAAAATAGTTGCAGGCCATGTGGAGAATTGTAGACTACAAAGTTAAAAATCACTACCCAAACCCCCTAATACTCATTCAATGATTTTTCCTCTCTTTAATAACATTTCAAATAAATGTATCTGTTTTCCAGCTGAGGCTGACACCTTTAATGAGGAGTGGCAGAAGGAGATCATGAAGTTCAGGCCTTGCCGAAGCAGAGAAGCTGTGCAAGCTTCAAGATCCAGAAGTGGCCATTACAACCAGAGGGAAAGTGGAGCAAGAAGGTAAAAATAGTTCCCTGCTATCCTACAGGATAAGGAAATTCCAGCAGCAGAAGGAAAACCAGTTCTGGAGCAATGTTCCAAGGGTAACTGCAGGTTTTATTCCTCCTTTCTTCATGGAGGTTGTGACCATTGTTGTTCTTTTTGCAGAGAGAAGCTACTTGGAGCTCCAGGATCCAGAGTGCCCAGGGATTCCTTGGAGGCTCTGAGTGTGAAAGGAACACCCGTCCCCCTGAAGGGCTCCAGGAAATAACTGTCCCCCCTCCCTGGGGATGGAGCTTCCCTGGAGCAGATGATGGTGCTCAGTGCTCGTGTCCATAAAAATACACCTGGATTTGTGACCAATCTCTGCTCTGTGTTGTGCCTTTGCTCCTCCTGCTTCTCCAAAGTGAATCCAAACCCAGCAACTTTCTGCCTAAAAGCACTTTATGGAACATCTCTAATCCTGGTGAAACCAGCTTGGATTTGCAGAGCTGTTCTGCTCTGGCTGCACCAGTCTCAGGCTTTACTAAGCCTGGTACTGCAGCTCCTCCTTCCCACTCTAAGTTGCACAGAAAGCAAATTTCCTTTCATTTGGATTGCTGAAATAATTACTGATTTTCTAGGTTAATTAACAGAACTTGAATACACTGGAAAGCACTATTATCTATACCTTTAAAATCATATTATAAATTGTTACAGAATTTCCTTTATTTTGGGTTGCTGAAATAATTACTGATTTTCTGGGTTCATTAACAGAACTTGAATACACTGGAAAGCACTATTATCTATACCTTTAAAATCATATTATAAATTGTTACAGAACCCCTACACTCACCTTGGTGTAACATAAAATGAGAGGAAATACTGAAATATGACAAGACTTTACATTTATCAGAGTTTTTATGTTAATAAGCTGTGCTTGCACTTCATTTCCTGTGCCTGAACTGTCAACTTTGTATTCCTGATCCTTTGTTTGTTTTCTGTGGAGTTAGCCCATCATTTTCCATTTTGAGGATTATTGTCTGTAGTATTTAATTACTTTAATTATCCTGTAGTAATAACAGTGTCCTGAGATCAGCTGCAACTAGGAGTTACTCATAGGAAAAATACGCGGAGAAATGAGTTTAACTGGAATGATTTCACCATTTCTTATGTACTAAAGAGTCCTGGATACAGGAATCCCTCTCCTTTCCATGTTATTTTTGTTTTACTGAGGGAGAATGACCCTAAATCTACATTTGATAGGAGTTCAGAAGAGCCAGCAGTGTCTGAGAGCAGGAAAATCCTGGGATTCCAGGTATTCAGTCCCTGTACTGCTCTACCACACAGAATTACCCCTGTGGTGTAGCACAAAGAATTTCTGTGGAGATAACATTAAATAATATAAATTAATAACACTAAAGCATTACATAAATTCAAGGCTCCATTATAATGTAGCCTTTAAAAGTACTATTTGTATGATAAAATAGGGTTTAGTAAGTTAAGAGTAATATTTGTTTGGCCAAAAAGCCTCTAAATCTTACTTAATCTTCCTGCAGTTTCCTCAGATTATTTAATTTTAATTAATTAATGTTTAATAATGTGCAAACCTAATCAGCAGCACTTCTGTTGAGCTCTGAAAAGGGAAGGACAATTATTTGCTTATGGTCTCTTCCTGAATTAAGAGAGGTATCAGTGGCAATAAATTGATGTGATCAATATTCATGGCAATAATTAAACCATTTAATGAGCAGTGGGGGTCAGGGGGGGCTTGGACACCCCTTAAAGTCAGAGCTCAACCCAGGGGCTCATTTTCCATCCACTGGAGACAACATGGATTCTGCAGTTGGCTAATTTATGGGATAATGTTCTCAGTAATTAACAGCAGCAATGTTTTCTGTGTTGGAATTTGAGCAGGAGTCTTGGAGAGTTGCTGCTGTTAAATCCTGATAACTCAGATTTTTTTTTTTTTGTGAAATAAAACAAGCCCTGGGTTTGAAATGACAGTGGGAAGAGGTGAATATTCCCTCCAGATCCTCTTTGCTACACCAAGACTGTTCTCCAATGTGAGGCACAAGTTGTGCTCTGTAAAAGCATCTGAAACTGCAATTCTTTAATAAAGTTATTTATTATTTATGGGGTTTGTTGGTTTATTCTGCACTGCAGAGGGACTTGTGCATTATTTAGTTTGGGCTGCTTTGAAACAATTCAGAGAAGGAAACCTGGGCTCTGGGACGTGTCCCTGCCCAGGGAGGGGTGGAATGCGATGAGATTTAGCAGAACCACTCCGGGATCCTCTGGAAATCCTCAGATTCCAGAGGCGAGCATGCATTTTCCACAAAAAATAAAGTTTGATGGAACCAGAGATGGAGAGGGACTCAGAAATTCTGTTCCAGAGCAGCTCCTGGCGCCTTTGCAGGTATGAAAGGCAGTTCGCGGGGAATAATTTTATATCAAGAATATATTTTAACACCTAACGCGTGTTCCAAACGAGTCCGTGTGCCCCATCCCAGCATCTCCCTGAGGAGCCGGGGGGCAGTGTGAGCCTCCGCTCTCCATTCCCACCTCAGGGCTCCCTCCTGCTGCCGCTCCCCGAGGGGCCATGAGGGGCCGGGCACTGAGAGCTTCCCCTCCCTGTCAATGCCGCCCTCGGGGCTCCTGACGCTCCGTGAGGGGTCGGCAGTGACAGTCTCCCCTCGCCATTCCCACCTCAGGGCTCCCGCACGGTGCCGCTCCCTGAGGGGTCGGCAGTGACAGTATCCCCTCGCCATTCCCCCCTCAGAGCTCCCGCATCTCCCTGAGGGGCCGGGGGGCGGTGAGAGCCTCCCCTGTCAATGCCGCCCTCGGGGCTCCTGACGCTCCGTGAGGGGTCGGCAGTGACAGTCTCCCCTCTCCATGCCCCCCTCAGGGCTCCCGCCCGGTTCCGCCGCTCCCTGAGGGCCTGAGAGGGGCCGGGGTGCCGGGCAGTGTGAGCCTCCCCTCTCCATTCCGCCCCCAGGGCTCCCGCCGCTCCCTGTAGGCCCGTGAGGGGCCGGCAGTGAGAGCCTCCCCTCTTCATCCCCCGCTCGGTGCCGCCGCTCCCCGAGGACTCCGTGAGGGGCCGGGCGGGACCGCGGCGCCTGCGCGGAGCCCCGGAAGAGGCGGGAGCGACCCGGGGCTGGAGCCGCGATTGGAGCCGCGATTGGAGCCGGGATTGGAGCCGGGAGCGGGGCCGGGAGCGGGGCCGCAGCCGGGGCCATGCTCAGGGTGTTACGGGCCGGGCTGGCCCCCGGCCGCCCGCGGCACATCCAGGTACGGGCGGCGGGACCGCCCCGCGCCCGCATGAGGGGACCCAGGGAGAGGGCGGAGAGACAGCCCCGGACGGGCCGCAACAGCTGCAGGGAGCGAACCGGCCACAGGGATGGGGACAGGGAGACCGGGAACGGGCAGCCTCCGGTGACATGGATGGGGACAAGGAAGCGGGGAGCGAACAGCCATCGGTCACACGGGTGGGGACAGGGAGACCGGGAACGGGCAGCGGGGCAGCGACAGCTCCGAGGTGACCCTGGAAAAGCCTCTCGGCCGGAGGTGACCGGTTTGCCACAGACTGAGAGAAACCCGCGGGGAAGCGGTTTGGCTATTTAGCCGCGGGCACAGTGAATCCCAGGATAAATAACGTTGGAAAAGCCCTCCAAGATCATCAAGTCCCAGCTGTGCCCGATGCCCACCTTGTCCCCAGCCCAGAGCACTGAGTGCCACCTCCAGGAATTCCTTGGACACCTCCAGGGATGGGGACTCCAAACCTCCCTGGGCAGCCCTTTGGTTATGGTTTGATTCTGGTGTAATGTTAGTGTTTCTATGAAAATACGCTTTTTTTTTTTAAATGAGTGTTGTGAGATGTGATTAGTAATAGAGTAGGTTTAAGTTTAAAAATGAAAGAACTTAATTAAGTTACTACTATGATAAAAGATATACACTGAATTTAGAAGGAAAACTTCTTAAAACATTTTTTTCTCTTTATTTAAACTTTAACAAACTGTAGTGAGACACAATCTTGGATTCTTGATTACATTACTACTTTTCTGATAATTAATACTTAGTCTATTAAGGGAGAGGGGACTTTTTCTTGTGTTATAGACTTCCAGGAAACACGATTGTAACTTCTTGTGTTTCTATGTTATCCATGGTACTGTTTGGAGAAAATCTGCTATTGTGACTTTTGGTTTTTTTATGTTACTTCTCTGTCAAACCATAACATCATTCCAAAGTCTGACCACATTTTCCATGGAGGCCATTCTCCCTTGTGCCATTCCTGGTGTCCTGGGAGCTGTGTTGGATCCACTCCTGGCTGAGCCAGTGCCCTCCCTTTGCCTTGCAGCTGCTGCTGCCCTCCTGCAGGCACTGCTCCTCGGGGGTGCTTCCCAACGAGAGGATCAGGAACATCGGGATCTCGGCTCACATCGACTCCGGCAAGACGACGCTGACGGAGCGGATCCTGTTCTACACGGGCAGGATCGCGCAGATGCACGAGGTGGGCTGAGCTCCCAGCGGGATCTTCCCGGGACTTTCTCTCCTCCACACTGTGTTTTTGTGCATGAGGGAGGATGCTCAGTCCGTGCAGCATCACTCCTGCACGTGGATCCACAGTATCATGGAATGGTTTGGGTGGGAAGAGGACTGAAAGCTCACCCATCCCACCCATCCCACCCATCCCACCCCCCTTCCATAGATCAGGTTGCTCCAAGCCCCGTCCAACCTGGCCTTGGACACTTCTAAGGATGAGATAGGAATTCTCAGCAAACTCCTTGAACTAATTTTTTTATTTCTCCTAAGGTGAAAGGTAAGGATGGAGTTGGAGCTGTCATGGACTCCATGGAGCTGGAGCGACAGCGGGGCATCACCATCCAGTCTGCAGCCACTTACACCATGTGGAAGGACACCAACATCAACATCATTGACACGCCAGGTGAGGGCAGCTGGCAGCACCTGGGCACTGCTGATCCTCATGGATACAGGGCATGTGGTGTGTCTTTGTGTCCCTGGTTGTGGCAGAACATGGAGTGATGGGTTCAAACTGACACAGGGTTAGATGGGATACTGGGAAGGAATTGTTCCCTGGCAGGGTGGGCAGCCCTGGCTGCCCCTGGATCCCTGGAAGTGTCCAAGGCCAGGTTGGAGGGGGCTTGGAGCACCTAGGATAGTGGAAGGTGTCCCTGCACATGGCAGGGAGTGGAATGGAGTTTAAGGTCCCTTCCCACCCAAACCCTTCCATGACCCTGTGCTCCATCACTTCAGCTGATGTGTCTCAATGTGATTCCCTTGGCTGTTGCTCCTTTCCAGTACATTTGTCATTTTTATTTGTATTTGTTGTCCAGGCCACGTGGACTTCACCATCGAAGTGGAGAGGTCTCTGAGGGTGCTGGATGGAGCCATCCTGGTTCTCTGTGCTGTGGGAGGTGTCCAGTGCCAGACCATCACTGTCAACAGGCAGATGAAGCGTTACAACGTCCCCTTCCTCACCTTCATCAACAAACTGGACAGGATGGGCTCCAACCCGGCCAGAGCAGTGCAGCAGCTCAGGTTTTGGCATTTACAGTGATTCCTGAAATTCCATCCCCATGGCAGGTCATTAGGAACAATACTGGAAAGGCTTCTCTTGGGAGCTGCAGTTTGGAGAATTCCTGACTCGAGGGTAAATCCTAATCTGAGCCGGGAAAAATCTCCATTGTCCCAAAACCCCCAAATATTGGTGTCAGCCAAGACTTGGAGTGACCAAGGGCTGGGGTTTGATGTTTGTTTGGTTGATGGAACTGTATCAGGACCACTTTGAGAGCAGCACCCTGGATCCTGGTGCTGCTGAAATTCCAGCAGGGAGGTGACACAGGTGCTTTGGATTCCTGGAGGTCCTGCTTACTCCCAACCTTTCCCTGCCTAATTTGATCCATGAGATTAACTCATTAATACTCATTAAGGGAGAATTAATTAAGCAATCAATCTCAAAGTGGTTTCCCCTGCTGCCTTTCCCATGGGAGTTGCTCCCTGGGCCTGCTGGAATACGAAAGGTGGGATACAAAGCCCTAAACCACAACTGGGTGGTTTTTATCTATTTTGGCAGATTTGGGCACTGTCCAAAGGACAAGACACAGGGATTTTGTAGGAGGGGAATGTTGCTCAAAGACCATCTGCAGCACACACATAGACATGACTTTTTTCTTCTATAATTCCTGTTTTCCCTTTTTCAGATCCAAGTTGAAACACAATGCAGCTTTTGTTCAGATTCCAATTGGGCTGGAAGGAAACTTTAAAGGAATTATAGATCTCATTGAAGAAAAAGCAATCTATTTTGATGGGGCACTGGGGTAAGTCCTGGAAATTGCTTCTTTTATAGCTGGAGCTGCTCTTTGCAAGAGGAATTCCTGCAGTTTCTCTTCAGAGATGAAACCCAGCTCTCTGTAAATTTGGAAAGGGCTTGTGCTGGGGCTGAGGGTCCCCCTGCAGCTCTCCCAGGCCCGGGGCCTGCAGGGATCTCTGGGTGGGGGTGGCTGCAGCAGGACTTGGTTGTTGTGAAGGGGTGGTGGCCACACTTCCCACATGGAGAAGACGGGATCCTGCAGCGTGGGTGGCTCCCTGGGATGAAGATTAGCTGTGGGTGGGCTGTTGGGAGGTTTGCTGATCCCTCCAGGAGTGGGAAGGACTCTCCCACACCAGAGATAACGCGCTGATGTTCACAGGGCATTTTTTTCTCTGGATCCATGTGAAGGGTGGGTTGTTCTGGGTCGGGGTGGTCATGCCAGGGCCGGGCAGGGGCTGATCCCTGTGGAATTCCTGGGAGTCACTGCGTTCCTGTGTGTGCAGGCAGACCCTGAGGGTGGAGGAGATCCCGGCTGAGCTGCGGGCAGAGGCTGCGGAGCGGCGCCGGGAGCTCATCGAGTGCGTGGCCAACGCCGACGAGCTCCTGGGGGAGCTGTTCCTGGAGGAGAAGATTCCCACAGCTGCACAGCTGAAGGTACCTTCCTTGTGCTGGCTGTTCCCTCAGCTGTGTCCCTGTCCCTCATTCCTCAATAAACGTATCAGGAATTCTGTTTGCTGGAGTTGTGTCACCTCAGCTGATCTCCAGCTCCCCCCAGGGAGGGCCCGTTCCCAGTCTGGTGTTGCTTTGCATTGGGAAGAATTCTGGAGAACAGGTTTTATGGGAAGCCCTTGTGCTGAGGGGTGTCCAGGGGACTGTGGGAGCAGCTCTTTGCTCCAGGAGTGGAGAAGCCCAGGAAAGGTGTGGGACTGGGCTGTGCTGCAGGAGGAATTCACAGGAATGTTTTTCAGCTGGCAATCCGAAGGGCGACGCTGCAGAAATCCTTCACCCCTGTCCTCGTGGGAAGTGCTCTGAAGAACAAAGGGGTGCAGCCACTGCTGGATGCTGTCCTGGAATACCTTCCCAATCCTTCTGAGGTGGAGAACTACGCTCTCCTCAACCAGGGGTGAGTGCATCCAGCAGCAGCAGGGCTGTGGAGAATGTCCCTGCCCATGGCACTGGCTGGGCTTTAAGGACCCTTCCCACCCAAACCAGTTTGGGATTCCATGGAATAGTTTCAAAGCAGGAAACATTCCTAACAAGATCCACAGTCCTTTACCATTGGTATCAAACTGTGCCACCAGCATTTGGCACGAAGTCCCAAAGCTCCTCTCTCATTCGAGGGTTACTCTGTGCTGGATTTTACCACATTCAGTGTTACATTTGGACAAAGATTGTCAGATAATTCTTTAGAACTGCTGGCAGCCCTTAAAACCAGGCCTGCCTACAGGAGGGAGCACATCCCAAGTGTTAAATAGTGTTTTATTGTGATGGACATGAATCCAGAATCCCTGAAGTTGGAAAAGAGCTCCAGGATCATCAAGTCCAAGCTGTGCCCAATCCTCCCTGTGTCACCCAGTCCAGAGCACTGAGTGCCACACCCAGGAATTCCTAGGACACCTCCAGGGATAGGGACTCCACACCTCCCTGGGCAGCCCCTTCCAAGGCCTCACCACCCTTTCCATGGAGAAATTCCTCCTGGAGTCCAACCTGAGCCTCCCCTGGCCCAGCCTGAGCCTGTTCCCTCTCCTCCTGTCCCTGTTCCCTGGGAGCAGAGGAGCAGAGCCCACCCAGACGAGTCAACCCCAACAGCAGAGCCCATAAATGTTCAGAGAGGACTCCTGTGTTGGTTCCTAACCTCTCCTCCCTCTCATCCCTGTTTCTCAGGGATTCTCAGGACCAAACCAAGTTCCTGTTGAACTCTGCTCGTGACGATTCCCAGCCTTTTATCGGCCTTGCCTTCAAGCTGGAGGTGAGTCTCACTCTGCTCCTTCCCACAGTCATGGAGAGAGCCCAGGTGGTGCTACCAAAACTCACCTACAGCAGACTTTTAGATCACTTTATACTGAAAAGCAGTTTATATTTAAATTGAAATTTAACTTCTTTTTTTAAAAAAAGGCTTCAACCATAAAATCCACAAGTGCTGCCAATTTGGAACTTCAGGTTGGGTTCTGGACCTCAAGTATTTCCTGGTTTTCTTGAACATCTTGGGGGTTGTTGGCTTAACTGAAATATTTTCAGGGGAAAATCCTGCACTTGGAAACAATGGGACGTGAGAGAGAGAGGAAAAAGTGCAGGGATTTAAGCAAATAAGTTGTTTGCTACTTAGAAAGCAGCACTTCAGGATTCCTATGGAACATGGAAAATGGCTGGCCACATTCCATGCTAACCTGTGTCTCTTGGGAAGGTTTGGGAGTGAAAGATTGGTTCAGAAAACTGCCAAATTGCATTGTAGAGCCTGGTGAAAGCTGTTAAAAATCTTTCATTTCCATTAGTAGTGTGGAAACTCACACCACATTTAGTCAGTGCAGCTGGTGCTTGGAACTGGTGCTGGTGATGCCTTGTGGGGGCTGCCCTAGAGCAGAGACTGGGCAGAGTCACAGAATAAAGCAGGGATTTATTCAAGGATCTCCTCCATGGATCCACCTTGGGCAGCACCAGAGCCCAGCCAGGGCTGCACCCAAGATGACCCAAAATGGCCCCAAAATGCACGAGCGCTCCCGGGGGCTCTCCCTGGGATCAGTTCTGCTCCACTGGCACCTTGGAGTTCATTGTCCCATTCCAGCTTTAGCCCAGGCAGTCCCATCCTGCTTGTTTTTCTCTCTCCAGCCCACGGTGTTTGTGCTCCTGGGCTGAGATTTGGATCATTTGTCCTTGGTGCCCAGCTGGAGCAGGAATTGTTTTGTGTCCTGCTCTGTGAGGAGAGCTCACCAGAAGCCCAGACCACACGTTAAGCAGAACAGAATCTGAAAAACAGAAAAGCTCAAACCTGAGGCATCGCTGGCTCCCAGAATGATCAGATTTTGGTGGGTTGTGCTTGCAGGCTGGCAGGTTTGGGCAGTTAACCTACGTCAGAGTGTACCAGGGCATGCTGAAGAAGTCGGATTACATCTACAACACCCGCACGGGGAAGAGGGTCAGGGTGCAGAGACTGGTCCGGATGCACTCGGACAACATGGAGGTGAGTGGGTCCCTGGGATGGGCTGCCAGCCCTGGCTCAGCCTGGATGATGATCCTGAAGCACAGGATGGTCTTTGCTTCTTAACACCTTTCCTTCTCATTTGATCCTGAACTGATCCAAGCTGAGCCCTCCCTTTTGTCCTTTGAATAAGGAGGGAGATTTGCAGGGCTTTTTACCCAAGCTGGAAGTTTTTAAGGAGCTCAGTGTCAAGCTTTAAAATTCAGTGTTTATGGATCTTCTGTACTCCAGGTGGAGTTTGGATGTGAGGGAAAGACAGAATAAATCCTGGAATGGTTTGGGGTGGAAGGGACCTTAAGGATCATCCAGCCACAAGGGTAGGGTCACCTTCCACTGTCCCAGGGGGATCCAAGCCCTGTCTAGCCTGGCCTTGGACACCTGCAGGCATCCAGGGGCAGCCACAGCTTCTCTTAGCCCATTGCTGTCTGAAGAGGAATTTTCCTTCCCTCAGGATGTAAATGAAGTTTATGCTGGGGACATCTGTGCCCTGTTTGGGATCGACTGTGCCAGCGGGGACACGTTCACGGATAAAACCAGCACTGACATCTCCATGGTGAGCCCCCCTTGCCCTGGCTGCCTCAGGCTCTGCCAGTCACCAGGATTTTGCTGGAATTTATAATCCCCTTTTCCTTGGCCACACAGGAATCCATCCACGTCCCTGATCCTGTCATTTCTGTGGCTATGAAGCCTTCCAACAAGGTAGGAACCCTTGGATCAACCTCTTCTCCCTGAGTACCCTCCCTTTGCTGCTTTGTGATTTTATGGAACAGTCTAAGCACTGTTTGAAAGTGTTTTATCCCAATATCCAGGATTTTATCCCTGGCATAACCCAGGGCTGAGGTGGATGCTGTCACTCAGCCAGAAACATGAGCTTGAAATAAATAATTAACACAGAAATGCTCAGCAGTGGATGGGAAAACTTGTGGCTTTTTTCTTGGAATGACTCATGGATGTTGAGTAAATCTTGGCTTGTGTTTCAGAATGACCTGGATAAATTTTCCAAAGGCCTGGGCCGCTTCACCAGGGAAGATCCCACCTTCAGGATCCACTTTGATGAGGAGAGCAAGGAGACCATTGTCTCTGGCATGGGGGAGCTGCACCTGGAAATCTATGCCCAGGTAATTTGGGAAGCACATTCCATGGACTCTGCTTTTGCCTGCTTTTCCCATCTCCTCTTGCTCCTTCCAGCTGCTTAGGGAAAGGCTGAGCTTTTAAATCAACTTATGAAGGTTTTTTCTCTCCAGTGGTTCCATTTTGAAGGCTTCTAAAAGGAGATTTTGCCTGGAATATTTTTAGGATTTGGTTCAAATCCATAAAAAATTATTAAACACTACAGTTCGCTCTAGCAGTCTTTGCTTATAATAATTAATACCTAATTATAATTAATTTCTACAGAAAAAATCCTTTGTTTCTGTGGTTTTAAATGTATTATTTCCTAATAATAGCTGGTGCAGGGAGAAAGGAGTGGTTACAGGGATTTGTTTCTTTCCAGCTGATGTCTATATTTTAATCTTAACAGAAAAAGATGTATCTTAAATATTGACAGAATGAAGAAAAAGTGATTTTTGCCTTGAAAAACTAGAATTTTATTACATAATTCATGCTGTTCCCTTTTCCTGCATTTGAAGCTGCAAGTCTTAAAGAAGTTGATGGGGAAGAATTTGTTAATTTAAAAAAATTACAGAAAGCCCCAAAAATCAATCCAACCCCCAACCAAAAGAGTGATTAATCCTGATAAAGTTACTAAATAATTACCAGTGGAATAACCCTAGTCACTGTGGGTTTTTTCCTGCAGAGAATGGAGAGGGAGTATGGTTGTCCTTGCACCATGGGGAAGCCCAAAGTTGCCTTCAGGGAGAACATCTCTGCCCCTGTGCCGTGAGTATTGCTGCTGGGAATTGTTGCATTCATCCCCTTGGAGGCAGAGGAGGTCCCTTTGGAATTCTGGGATCAGAAACACCCAGGAAGGTTTCATTTAATGTCTTGTACCATGGTTGGTCCCCACTCTGTCACCTGCTCCTCCCGGCTGTGGGAGCTCTCACCCTTCCCAGGGGTGTTCCCAGAGGGGTGCTCAGGTGTTCCCAGGGGTGCTCAGGTGTTCCCAGGTGTTCTCAGAAGTTTCCAGGAGTTCACAGAAGGGTGCTCAGGTATTCCCAGGAGTTCCCAGAGGAGTGCTCAGATGTTCCCAGAGGTGCTCAGGTGTTCCCAGAAGTTCCCAGAGGGGTGCTCAGGAGTTCTCAGATGTTCCCAGATGTTCCCAGAGGGGTGCTCAGGTGTGTTCCCAGGCATTCTTAGGGGTGCTCAGGTGTTCCCAGGAGTTCTCAGGGGTGCTTAGGAGTGCTCAGGTATTCCCAGAGGGGTGCTCAGGTGTTCCCAGATGCTCTCAGATGTTTCCAGGAGTTCACAGAAGGGTGCTCAGATATTCCCAGGAGTTCCCAGAGGAGTGCTCAGGTGTTCCCAGGGGTGCTCAGGAGTTCTCAGATGTTCCCAGGTGTTCCCAGGGGTGCTCAGGTGTTCCCAAAGGTGCTCAGGTATTCCCAGGTGTTCCCAGAGGGGTGCTCAGGTATTCCCAGGTGTTCCCAGGGGTGCTTAGGAGTGCTCAGATGTTCCCAGGAGTTCTCAGAGGTGTGCTCAGGTGTTCCCAGATGTTCCCAGGGGTGCTCAGGTGTGTTCCCAGGGGTGCTCAAGTGTTCCCAGGAGTTCCCAGAGGAGTGCTCAGGTATTCCCAGATGTTCCCAGGGGTGCTCAGGTGTTCCCAGATGCTCTCAGATGTTCCCAGGGGTGCTCAGCTGTGCCCTGCTCCTGCTGGGTGGCTCTGGGACACTCGGGCCCCGTGCTGGGGGTGCCACAGCAGGGTCACCTGCCAGGGCAGCACCTCCTGTGGGGCACACAGAGCACAGTCAGCAACCCCTGCTGCCCCCTCCAGCCAGCCAGGAGCTTTCTCATGGAAAACCTGGGAATGAAACCCAAGGGAATGGGCGTGCAGGGCATCGGGAGCAGCAGAGCTGGAGCTGGCAGGGAGATCCCTGGATTATTGCAGTCAAAAGCTTCTCTTCCCAGTTTTCTGTGGTTTTCCTATGAAAACACCTGCTCAGATCCCAAAATTTTACGGGAGAGTCGCACAGGATGTAAATGCTGTTCTGGCAGCCAGTTTCTGCTGGGGGTTACTGGGATTGCTGGGGGATTACAGGGCTGTCCTGGGCCATGGAGGCATCCAGGATGCTCCAGCTGCCCCTTCCTTTATCCCTGCCCACTCTGGCACTGGGATCTCCCAAGGGAGAGCTGTGAGTTTTGAACCTCAGCCATTCCCACCAAAGCCCCAGAACAGCTGGAAGCTGCTGCTGTTGTTCCTGGAATGCTGAGACAGGCAGGGATGGGGACCCTGAGCTCACCCTGCAGAGTCAGATCTGTGTCTGAGCTGGAGCTCACACAGCTGCAGTCTTAAAACACCCAAAAAAGGCTTTTTAGGAATAAAATCACTTACCTGGGACACCATTTCGTGGAGTAGAACCACAAAGTCAAACTCAAGATCTTCATCACTTCTTTTCTGGAAAGACAGGATGAAAAGGGCTGAACTGGGGATTCTTCCACCTCACAAAAAGTGATTCAGTTCTCTGTGGTTATCACAAAAATTCCCTGATGGATTTCAGATAAAAGTGGCAGCTCCTGATCGCAAATTAAGCAGATGGAGCTCAAACACTGTAACAAAACTATAGCTCCTGGTTTGAATTTCTGTGCACTCCAAAACTGCACTGGAGACAGTGAATGTGAAGCTTTAAACTGCTAATTCCTGCCTTAGAGACCAGATCTGTCAGAAATTCTTTGGGATGGGAGCACCTCATTTTAGCAGGTGTCAGTTTAACCCAAATAATCCCAAATAAAATTGTCAAGAGGATAAGGACACTCCAGAGGCCTTTTTGTGAGTGACAGCCAGGGATTCTGAGTGACAAAATAAACCCTGGCCTTTGGAATAGATTCTCTTCCTGTGTTTTCAGGGGAAAAGGGACAAAACTAAAGAGATGGCAGCTGGGTTAGTAGTTATTTGTCTCCTTTATCCTTAAGTTTGTGCTTTAAACTCTTGCTGGTGCACAGCCCTGCAGCAGCTGTGAATTCTCTAAAATGCCATCAGAGGGAGCAAAACATTCACAAATCCTATTCCCACAAGGAATTCCTGACTTTCCTTCAGACCCAGAACTTCCTGGGAATTCACTGCCTGTTCAGAGGGACAAAACTTCTGGAGCTTTCAGTTTTCTAAATACTAAATCCTGCTGCTTTTTCTTGGCTCCTGTGGGAAATTGCCTTGAATTTACAGCTGATGATCATTTTAGGGTTATTTTTAACTCAGAATCTATTTTCTCTAATAGAACACAGCAAAACTGGGAGGATCTGTGGAATTTAATTCAATTTATTGTCCTTGCCACAGCTGCTTAACTCATGAATATTTTCCAGGGAAAGCCAAGGCCAGGCTGGATGGGCTTGGAGCAGTCTGGGCTGTGGAGGTGTCCCTGCCCATGCAGGGGGGGGGGTGGGATGAGCTTTACGGTCCCCCCAGCCCAAACCAGTCTGGGATTCTGTTCCTGCTGGTAACTCACCACCTGCTTCACGTGTTTGACTTGGGCAAGGTGGAACTTGGTGTTTTCGGTGGAATTCTGCCAGATCACGTAGCCAGAGGCCACCCAGGCCAGCAGGTGGATGGGCTCCAGCTCTGGGGGAACGTTCCCGTGGCTGTCTGGAACAAAACCAAACCGTGGGTGTTAAAGAGAGCCCTTACCCCAGAGCACTGTCACCTCACACAGGGCTTGCTGCTCAAACCCCTGTCACACAGCCTTCCACAGCCTTTGGAAGAGCTGCACAGAGCTTTCCTCCCACTTCACACAGTCCAGGTTTGGCTTGGGAGGGACCTTAAATCCCACCCAGTGTCACCCTGCCATGGCAGGGACACCTTCCACTGTGCCAGGTGCTCCAAGCTCCATCCAGCCTGGCCTCGGGCACTGCCAGGGTGTTCTCCACATTTTCTCCTAACAGAAATTCCAGGTCTCAGAGGCAGGGGTTGCTCTGAGGTGAGAGCAGCCCCTCCTTGTCCATTTGGGGTGTTGGATGTGCTGTGCCAGGACCCCCTCAGAGGGAGCAGGTGACAGTGACAGTGCCAGCTGGTTTTCCAGAACACTCAGAATCAGGAATAAATGCAGTGGCTGTGATTGCAGACCCCGCAAAAAGAGAAAGGTGAAGGCTTGAGCCCTCTCCTGGCTTGTACCTGGGATGTTCTCAGCCACAAGCTCCTTTTCCAGGCTCCTGATCCAATTGTAGAACTCCCTGTCTGCTTCCTCTGTGCTCCTGAGCTCTCCTTGCACAGTGACCTGCACATCTGGAGCAGAGTTTTTGCTGTCCAGGTGATACAGAACCTCAGCAGTGCAGTTCACAGTCCTGTCCTGTGGCAGAGTTAATGATGTGCATTATTATCTGAATGAACATGTGTATTACCAGGGTCATTTGCATTTCTGAAAATGTCATTTTTACATAGTTGGTGTTTTCTCTGAGTCTGGTCCGGAGAGGTTTGTGATTATTTAAGACAAGGTTAAATTCCTGGCATTTCTGTGAATGTTGAAGGGTGGGATTTGCTTTTTGCAGTGATGGAAGGGGCAGTGGTTGGGGTGCAGAGTGTCCCTTGTGCTGTTCAGTTGGAGCTGGGTGACAGTGAAATGTCCTTGTCCTCCCTGCAGCATTGCCTGGTGGTGTAGTGGAAGGTACCACCTGGGCAGTGGGTTCCTTTTGGTTAAAATTCAGCCTTTTTGAGGCCTGACTGGCAGCACAGAAAAATCAGGAGCATGATTCACAGTATTAAGTGCTGTGTGCACAGAGTCTGTAATTAAACCAGTCTGACTCACTTTGTCCAGGACATCCTCCAGCTCCAGTTCCAGGTAGTACTTGTGCCCCACATCATCAATGTCCTAAAAAAGAGAGAACATTGATAACATTTATTCTGGCAAATGTTGAATTTGCCAAATTTGTCCAGGCAGAGAATCCCAGGATGGTTTGGATTGGAAGGGACCTTAAATCCCATCCAGTGCCAATCCCTTGCCATGGGCAGGGACACCTTCCACTATCCCAGGTTGCTCCAAGTCCCATCCAGCCTGGCCTTGGACACTTCCAGGGATGGGCACTCTGTTCCAGGGCCTCTCCACCCTCATTTCTATCCTTTAACACCTGTGAAATTCCAATTTTGGGCTCCTCTGTGATGCTATCCAAGATTTTACTGCTTGGTTAAATACTCCCCGAAGAGCCTTCAGTGCTTCCTTCTATTAATTCAGTTTTGCAGGTTACTATGAACTGGATTGTGCCCTGTATTTTTCTGGCTATAAGGGAACAGGAGGGGGTTTGCTGTGCCCGTGTTTTGGGAGGGGTTTGCTGTGCCCATCTTTGGGAGGGGTTTGCTGTGCCCGTGTTTGGGAGGGGTTTGCTGTGCCCTTGTTTTGGGAGGGGTTTGCTGTGTCCTTCTTTTGGGAGGGGTTTGCTGTGCTCGTGTTTTGGGTGGGGGTTTGCTGTGCCCTTGTTTTGAGAGGGGTTTGCTGTGCCCTTGTTTTGGGTGGGGGTTTGCTGTGCCCTTGTTTTGAGAGGGGTTTGCTGTGCCCTTGTTTTGGGTGGGGGTTTGCTGTGCCCGTGTTTGGGAGGGATTTGCTGTGCCCTTGTTTTGGGAGGGGGTTTGCTGTGTCCCTGCAGACCCAGGGCAGGGCCCGGCTGTGTCCCGGCACCCACGGGTGCACCCAGCACCCTCCTGCTCCTCCCCGGGAGTTCCTCCTGGCCCGGTGCCGGTGCCGTGCCCTGGGCAGGGCTCCCTGGGCGCTGCTGTCCCCGCGGTGACACTCGGGGTGTGTCCCACGGCGCTGAGCCGTCCGCGGTGACACCGAGCTCCTGCTGGGACCCTCCGCGGTGACACCGGCGGTGCCACAACCCCGGAGCCGCGGCTGGGAAGGAACTTTGCGCATCGCCCAGTGGCCGGTTTCCCGGTGCCCGTTTCCCGGTGCCCGTTTCCCGGTGCCCGTTTCCAGGGCCGTTTCCCGGTGCCCGGCTCCCGGTGCCGGTTCCGGGTACCCGTTTCCAGGTTTCCCGGTGCCGGTTCTGGGTGCCGGTTCTGGGTGCCCGGTTTCCCGGTGCCCGGTTTCCCGGTGCCCGGTTTCCCGGTAGCCAGTTTCCCTGTGCCGGTTCCCCGGTGCCCATTCCCCGGTGCCCATTCCCCGGTGCCCGTTCCCCGGTGCCGGTTCCCCGGTGCCCATTCCCCGGTGCCGTTCCCCGGTGCCCATTCCCCGGTGCCGTTCCCCGGTGCCCATTCCCCGGTGCCGTTCCCCGGTGCCGGTTCCCCGGTGCCCGTTTCCAGGTTCCCCGGTGCCGTTCCCCGGTGCCCGTTTCCAGGGCCGTTTCCCGGGTGCCGGTTTCCCGGTACCCGTTTCCCGGTTCCCCGGTGCCGGTTCCCCGGTGCCGGTTTCCCGGTGCCGGTTCCCCGGTGCGGTTCCCCGGTGCCCGTTCCCCGCTGCCGTTCCCCGGTGCCGGTTCCCCGGTGCCGGTTTCCCGGTTCCCCGGTTCCGTTCCCCGTCCGGTCCCGCCCCGCCGCTGACCTGGCTCCGGGCGCGGCGCAGCTCCCGCAGCCGCAGCCCGCGGCCGGGGCCGCCCCGCCGGTACCGCAGGTAGCCCAGGGCCGGGGCCGCGGCGCGGGCGGCCGGGAAGCGGCCCGGAGACAGCTCCATGGCCCGGGAGCCGCTTCCTCCTCCCGCAGGAAGCCCGGGCGGGGCCGGGGCGGGTCGGAGCCGCGGGACCGGCCGGGTGCTGCGGGCGGCACCGCGCGGAGAGCGTGTCACACAGCCTCGGATGGCAGATCGGGGGTTAATCCTTCCCCCGTGGCACCGGTTTAACAGGGAATTTGTGGCTGCCTTATCCCTAGAAGTGTCCAGGTTGGACAGGGCTTGGAGTAACCTCGGATAGCAGAAAGCATCCCTGCACATGGAATTTTAAATTTAAATTCCCTTCCAGCCCAAAGCAGTCTGTGGTTGTCTGAAATGCAGAATGAGCGTGTTTTGCATAGAAAGCCGTGGTTTGTGTCACGAGTGACCTGGTGTTCGGGGCATGTTTGGGGTTTAGGTTTGAGTTCACCCACAAGAAGCAGTCGGGAGGAGCAGGCCAGTACGGCAAAGTGATCGGCGTGCTGGAGCCCCTGGAGCCGGAGGACTTCACCAAACTGGAATTCGAGGACAGAACCATTGGCACAAATATTCCCAAGCAGTTCGTGCCCGCTGTGGAAAAGGTACAAACCTTTCTCTGTGACACAGAAAATCCTGGTTGCTGCTGTGTTCCTGCAGCAGCACCCACGTTTGCTGTGCCTGCCTTACCCCAGGAAAGGAGGCTTTTCCCATTGCTCCGGTGGCAACAGGATCACAACTGGGTGGTTTTACTTCGTGTCTTGCATTCCTGGGGTTTCCAGTTAATTCAGGAGCTGCTGGTGTCTTTGGTGGTGTGTGCTGCCTCTTGTGAGAGCCTCCTGCTCAGGCTGCTTTTTCCTGGCCTCTTCTGCTTCTGGTTGTGGCCTCACAATTCTCCTCCCAACCCCAAAATGTGTAACTTCTTCTGTGACTTCTCTGAGGCCAGTTCTAGAGGAAACTGTAATTAAGCTTCATTTCCTGCCTCAGTTCCCAAATTCTCTTTCTTTATCTCCTCTGTGACTGCCTCACTGTATAATTTATCACACACAGCTTTAATTAACCTACCAACATCTTGGAATTCCTGTAATAACCTACAATTATTCCTTCATTTTTCTATGTTGCAACACTTAAAAGATTTTTGCCAAATCTTGAACAAACCAGAGTCTTAAAGGAATCTTGTTCTCCAGGCAAGAGCTTTTTCCACGCTGAGCATTCTTTTGGGGTTTGGCCGTGGAATCAGTTAAAAAGGCAACCCCTGAGGCTGTTTTTCCTGGTTCTGTGATTTTTGTGTGTAAAATCAAGCAGAGGTGCAGTGCCTGGCAGTGCAGAGCTGCAGGTTCCTGCTGGTGACAGGGAGCTGTCGTTCCCAGGGGTTCCGGGACGCCTGCGAGAAGGGTCTGGTGTCGGGGCACCGCATCTCCGGCGTGCGCTTCGTGCTGGAGGACGGGGCCCACCACATGGTGGACTCCAACGAGATCTCCTTCATCAGGGCAGGAGAGGGAGCCCTGAAACAAGGTACAGGCTCCTCCTTGGATGGGTTCTGCTGGCTGGGAGCCATCCATCAAATCCCTCCTTCCCTCCTTCTTTCATTCCATCCATCCCTGCTTCATTCCCTCCATCCATCCATCCATCCATCCATCCATTTATCCATTCGTCCCTGTTTCCTTCCCTCCATCCCCCCATCCATCCCTGTTTCCTTCCCTCCATCTCTCCATCCCGTCCCCTCATCCCGTCCCCTCATCCCATCCCCTCATCCATCCATCCATCCCTGTTTCCTTCCCTCCATCCCTCCCTTCATCCCCCTAAAGCTTTCGCAGTTTTATGGAGCAGAACATGTGCAAGAGTTTATAGAATTTGTGAGGGAGGCACAATAATTCCTGTGGCTGTACAAAGGAAATCCTGTTTTCCTAGAATTCAGTACAGCAACACCACCAGTTTCATCCTTATGGGGTAGGAAGAGAACATTTGGCCTAACTGGGCCTTTTTTAGGAAAGATTCCTTCTCTGAGGGAGAGTTAAACACTGGAAGGGGCTGCCTGGGAGTGGTGGGGTGACAATCCCTGGAGCTGCTTAGACAACGTGTGGATGTGGCATTTCACAGTTGGGTTTCATGAGCACGCTGCTATCAGCCAAAGGTTGGTCTTGATGATCCTGAAGGTCTTTTCTCAGGGAAGGAAAGGCCGGGAGCTGGAATTCCACGTGTTGATTGTGGTTTTTCCCTGGCATTGACCATAAACCATCTGCTGCTGTGCACGGGAGCAGCTTGCCTTGCACCGGGCTCACCTTTGATGTTGGATCCTCTCTGCACTCTTCCCCCAGCCATGGAGAACGCTGCCGTGCGCATCCTGGAGCCCATCATGGCCGTGGAGGTGGTGGCTCCCGTGGAATTCCAGGGAGCAGTGATAGCTGGGATCAACCGGCGCCACGGCGTCATCACGGGCCAGGACGGCTCCGAGGGGTACTTCACTCTCTATGCTGAGGTCTGTGCTTGCTGCTGCTCCCCTCTCCTCCCTTTCCCCCTCTCCTTTCCTCCCTTTCCCCCTCTCCTTTCCTCCCTTTCCCCCTCTCCTTTCCTCCCTTTCCCCCTCTCCTTCCCTTCCTTTCCTCCTCTCCTTCCCTTCCTTTCCCCCTCTCCTCTCCTTCCTTTCCCCCTCTCCTCTCCTCCCTTTCCCCCTCTCCTTTCCTCCCTTTCCCCCTCTCCTTCCTTTCCTTTCCCCCTCTCCTTCCTTTCCTTTCCCCCTCTCCTTCCTTTCCTTTCCCCCTCTCCTTCCTTTCCCCCTCTCCTTTCCTTCCTTTCCCCCTCTCCTTTCCTTCCTTTCCCCCTCTCCTCTCCTTCCTTTCCCTGTCTCTTCTCCCCTCATTTAATTCCATTGTTTTTCTCAGTTTCTATGGATATTGTTGTAGGTTGACTCAATTTCAATGTTTCTTCTCTTATCTCCCTCCTAAAAATGATTGCAGAGGATCACTGGGTGTTTTCCTGCTGGGTGAGGGGCTCAGGACAGCCACACCCTGTGACCCTTCTGCTTCCCAGATTATTTTTGGAGGAATGGCTGGAGATACCACAGACCTTGCTGGTTGACTCATCACTGAATTTAGGATATTCCAGTTCCTGGTGCACTCAAACTCTCAGATTTTTCTTGCTGAAAACACACTGCAAATATTAATTAATTAAAATATCAGATACTTTACAACAGCAGACCATTAAGTCAGAGCTGTTTACAGACAGCACTGACACTTTGTGTCACAACTGGGATTAATTACCCAATATTGTGATAGCCCAAAAGTGATGGAAAAAACCTCTTTTTGAGCAAATATGTTTGGATTTTAGGTGCCACTGAACGATATGTTTGGATATGCCACGGAGCTGAGGTCTTGCACAGAGGTGAGTCCTCCTGGTGCTTTTTGCTAAAACGTGTTTGATTCTGTAAATTTGGGCTCATTCATCATCCTGCCCATGGCAGCTGCAGCAGGGAATGAGACCAGAGCAGAGCTGGGGAATTGCTGGCCAAACAATTCTCCTGCTCCTGAGGAGTTTCCTTTGTCCCTGGGTGTCACTTCACAGACAGGAGCTGTGTGCCCAGCAGGGCTGCACATGGCCCATCCTCACTTCCTTTTCCCAACTCTGCAGGGAAAAGGGGAATACACCATGGAATACTCCAAATACCACCCCTGTTCAGCCAGCACTCAGGAGGAAATCATCAACAAATACCTGGAGGCAACGGGGAGACTTCCTGCCAAAAAGGGCAAAGCCAAGAGCTGATGGGATTCCTCTGGAGCCCACTGAACAGTGTGTCCCATTCTTCTCCAACAGCTCACTTTTCCAAGCCATGGAAGCAGCCCAGGCTGGCTGGGTAAGGTGGGCTCCAGTGGGATTTGGACTTGGAATTTTAACACAGAACCTTTCCTCTGGGGTGGTGTCAGCAGCACCAGGGGATCACCACAGGATTGCTCTGTGTAAATGCTCTTGTAACAAATTGATGTTAAAACATGGCTGATGATTTGTCTTAATCAAGATCTATTAAAATAATTTTATTTTTTACTTGATACATCTTTATTTGGAAATGTTAAACTGAGGTAAGAGCTGCTGGACAGGTACAGGGTGTGAGACATCACTTGGCACGTGGTGCTCCAGCTTCCCTCCAGGGAGCAGATGGAATTTTCCCCTCCAAATCCTTTGGAAATGGCACAGGATCCTCCAAAGTCTCAAGCTACTGGGCAAAGCCACCAGTCAGTGCTTGTCACCAAATCCACTTCCACTGGTGCACGAGGATGGAGCTGAGTTGCCAGGGGTGCTGGGAGGAGCTGCCTCCTCCTAAAGCTGGGCACAAGATGGAATTGCTGTGTGGCTTGGAGATGTGGATTTATTGGGTTTGGGGTGTGGATTCTTGTATGGGCTTGGTTTATGGCTCTTGGTTAGAAATCCGAAACAAAGATCCCTTTTCCCAGAATCTCCCAATCCAGAGGCTGAGCTGCAGCTGATGTTCAGCTCAGGAATCACTTGACTTTGCTGACTCAAAGGGGTTAGGTGAGAAGATATTCCCATAATTCTGTATTTGTAATGATTCCCAGAATGTCCACGTTGGATTTTCTTTCCTCCTTCCTGCCCTGCTCCTCTGAAAAGTGTTTTTGCAGATTCCAGTAAACAGGGAGGGAAGTTCCAGTTCAAACCCAGCGACATTCCTGGCACAGCACTGGCGTTGCTGCTTCCCAGACAGAAACAAGTGGAACAGCCAGGCTGCTTCTCCTCTGGAAGGGCTGGAAAATGATTTATGGAAACCTTGGGAAAGGATTTGCCAGGGCCTGGAGCTGCGGAGGGATCCCGGACGAGATGTGGGGTGTCCGTGTGGTGCTGCCTCGGGACAAATCCCTGACTCCTGCACATCCATGGCTTTGTTTTTGGGAATGCTCAGCTGGAATTCATTCCCAGAAAAGCCCAGCAGCTTCTCAGACATTTGGAAGTTTTCTAAAACAAGCAAATGTAGCACTTTCCCCAAAATTTGGAGAGGTCTGATAAAAGCAGTGTGAACACAGGACAAGAAACAGGGCGGGTATGATTTTATTTGTGTTTCTGGGGTTTATGTTTGTGTTTCTGATGTTTATATTTGTATTTCTGAGGTTTATATTTGTGTTTCTGAGGTTTATTTCTATCTATTTCTGTTTATGGGGTTTATATTATGTTTAGACCAGTTGTGATGTGAATTCCTGGCTGATGAGTTCTGCCAGATGTGCTGGTTCTTC